TAGCACCAGCCGCTATTTCCAGCCGCTAGTTCCAGCATTTAGTACCAGCCGCTTGCACCAGCCGCTAGTTCCAGCCGCTAGCACCAGCCGCTAGCTCCAGCCGCTTGCACCAGCCGCTAGCTCCAGCCACTAGCTCCAGCAACTAGCCCCAGCCGCTCGCACCAGCGCTGTCCCAGCCGCTAGCCCACAGCCGCTAGCTCCAGCCGCTTGCAACCAGCGCTAGCTCTGCCACTAGCGTCCGTCACTAGCACCAGCCGCTGCACCGTCCGCTAGCCCCAACCGCTAGCTCTAGCAACAAGCCCCAGCCGCTAGCTCTAGCAACAAGCCCCAGCCGTTAGCGCCAGCATTTTAGTACCAGCCGCTTGCACCCGAAATGCATCTCCTCCCTACGCATCACATATCACGCTACTACTTTCAATACCGACAAAAACAGAAGCGCTAACATAATTTGATGTTAATTGAATACATGTGCGTGTATATATATATGAGACAGTCTCTGTCTCAATTTCTCATAAAACGCGAACACGAGCGAAAAAGACAACCTGGGTAACTTTTTACAGCTTTCACTGTATATTAAAGCAAAATGGTTTTTTTCTCGGGTTGAAATTCTTCCGAAAAAATTTGGGGTATACAATGACGCGCGCCAAGTACGATATATTTTTGAAGTGAAAACTTCTTTAGAATCGTTGTGATTTCAAACCGGATGCAACGGAAAAAACGACAGGTAAGAGACACAAATACAAAAATGTGTAGGATGAAGCCAGCAAAGAATGAGACAGAAATATACATACTATTTAATACAGCGCCATCTGTGAGATTTTTTAATACTAACGTGTGTATGAAAGCTCTTGTAGTGAATTTTAATTTAGGATTATACGTGAAATTAAAATATCAATTCACAGAGGGCGCTACCTTACAATTATTTACTAATGACAGAATTTTACATATACTTAAGACGTTTAGGATAATTGTATTTTAATTTTGGAAGGCTTCACTACCTACGTGTGAATTGCACACATGTATTTTTTATTTATTTTTTTATTTTAATTGTATATTTTTTAATTTTTTCAACATTATGACGGTTTCTTGGTATTTTTTTGTATTTCACATCTTTTTGTAGGGAATGAAAGTTATTGAAGTCTTATTTTTTTTGTAAAGGGCAAATGTTATTGAGATGAGTTTTATAAACGTGGACTTGGCGCAATTTTTTACAGTAAAACTGTTTTTGTTCGGATTTCATATCTTTTTGTTAAGTATTATTTTTTGCTCATTTATTACTTAACAAAAATAGACAATAGAATAAAAATAAATTATAAATAGTCACTCAGCTTAAAAGCTAATGAAACGCTCAATTAATTAGTGTAATAATAATCAACATCAACTTTTACAAATTTAAACCGAATTAAATTCTGTTTCAAATGTGAACGGTGGATGACGCTGTTCTTAATTATTTCAGATTTTAAAATTGAGATCTGAAAGCTTTGAAACATCAATCCGCATAAATGTAATTAAAAACTACAGTAAGAGGCTTAAATAAAAAGCTGAACTTAGCTCAGCCTTAATTAGAATTTTTTTCGGAATTCAGTAGTAAAGTTCAAGTTATTTTGATGAAATCAAAACTGAAATATTCATAACATCTTAAACAATCACCTACGAATAAATATTATTTATTCAGTAGACTATCACAACGGTTTTATAGTTTTGGGAAGGGATTTTTTGTAACGCCATCTCGTGAAGTATTTCGGTATTACATTAATATAAAATAATTAATAATTGGGAATTTAATTGTTTTTATGATCGAACAATCACCAATAGTCGTCGAACAAACGATAATTGATCAAAATGAATTAATCTGAGCGATAAAAATAAAGATATCTAGTAAAGGGGGGCTTACTTAACGATGATCATTTATTTAATTAATTATAAATAAACAAAAGACGAACAAACAATTTTTATATTCGAACATTAACGAACAAACGACGAGCAAATATAATTATTTGTATAATATTAATGTATAATATAATATTAATTTGTATAATTATTAATATAATAAAAAAATCCGAAAATAAAAAAAGGGTGCCAAATTTACAGAGCCGCCCGATATAGAAACTCAACAAACACATTCATCTTTCATGTCAATGAAAAGTTATTCATATTTTTAATTGTTATTATTGAAGTCATCGTGGCCTAAGGGATAAAGACGTCCGGTGCATTCGTGTTGAGCGATGCATCGGTGTTCAAATCCCAAGCGGGGGTACCAATTTTTCTAATGAAATATGTACTCGACAAATGTTAATGATTAACTTCCGTGGTGAAGGAATAGCGTCATGTAATAAAAATCAAACCCGCAAAATTATATTTTTCGTAATTACTGGTGGTAGGACCTCTTGTGAGTCCGCGCGGGTAGGTACCATCACTCCACGCTTTTTTTACAATAAAATATATATTATTTACACTATTTATAATTTAAATTTATTTAAATTTATTTAAATTTATTTTTTATTTTTTAGTTGTATTTTATACATAGCTTGTTTTTTAGTTTTTTTAACCTATTATTTATTTTTCATTTTTTAGTTGAATTTCAGTTTTTTAATTATTTTTTTTTATAATATTAAATGTCATCGGTCCTCGATAAATATACAAAGTTTTAATGAAATCTTGCCGTTTAAAGTGGGGCAAAATCGCGTCTAAAGGAGTCAGTTACAAACATGAGAAACAAGTGAAGCTAATATAAAGCGTGTAATAAAGGTCAAAGTCCGGCGGTTACCTGATCGTACAAGTTGGCCAGCCAGTTCATTCCCTTGAGCTGGTAGCCCTTGAGCGTCCCGCGGAAGATGTGCGGCTGGTCGTGGTCGCTGGCGCGGCGGCGCGGCTCCGCGGCGCGCGCGCTCGCGTCGAACAGCTCGGTGCGGGCGCGGTCCGCGCGGAACGCCTCGCGAGCGTTGCGGGACGCGCGCGCCTTCATCTCTTCGCTGCCAAATTAAATTAACGGCTTCGTCAAACAGAACGCGTACTTAGCGCGCATCAAAGCGCTAAGCGGACGGCGCGCTATGACGCCGAGATGTGTTGTACTACTATGGTAATATACTGTCAAACAAAGCGCCAGCGCTAGCAGTACGCAACGCTCTATTGCGGCGTTAGGACGCTTTGATGTCAGGCGTTGTAATTTTTTACAAATTTTATTTTAAGGTCCGAGTGAATGTGTATTAAAATACTAGATAATGCCCGAAAAATTTATAGAATTAGTTAGGAAATACCCATGTTTATACAATGCCACATCTTAATCACTCGAACACTTAAAACTTTTAAATTTTCACACTGCTATCGAAAGGCACTATAATTTGGCGTTACGTTGCATCAAGGAGCGTTGGGCTCATCTAGTCAATTTGTGTGACATGAAAAAAGCGCGACATTAAAACGCAGCGCTAAGTACGCGTTCTGTTTGACGAAGCCTTTAATTATATCTTTATAACGACGACAAGATTGATTATAACAGTTTAAAACGGACACGTGTTGGGACATCATTGTGAATTGTTTTATTTTGTCATCTTTCAATGATTTACGCTGTCAAAACGTCAACAGATAAGGTACGTTGCAAAGTATATCCTACAGGAAATGTAACCCAAGGCGGGTTGACGTAAAGCAGGCTACCGGTCAAAAAACTGAAGTAAAATGCTTGTGATGCTATGATAAGAGAAACACCTGACTCCACATAAGGTGGGGTATGGGCCAGAAGAAGACACATGATCTAAAAACTACTTATAGAAAATCTTAATTAAATTAAAACGCACATTTTAAATAACAAACAAAATATTATAAATCCATTTTTTTTTTACGTTAAACTTATTATTATGTTATTATGTTTATAAATTCAATAAACAATGCAGTGTTGTTCTTTTTAGTGTAAAATATTTTCATTTGCAAATAAATTTTTGTTATATTATAACAATGGTTTTAGGGAATTATTAGGGAATGGTTGTAAGAATAAACTATTTTTTTATAATACATTTAAAATATTCCTTTCGTATGTGTCAAAGAGATTATATAATTGTATTATAGCTTTCAATCTCACCTGTCGTAACAATCTATAGAAGCCAGCCTGGGATCTCGGTCTTCGTCCAGTTGCCTGAGTATATGAGCGGCTCCCGTGTCGCTGTCCTCCACTGCACTCATCTTCCGCTGCATGAAGTGAGCGTACAGCTCGGTTTGTGTTATCAAAAAATTCAACTTGCGACGTTGACGCTTTGCTTCCATCAATTCTACGTCCATCTGTTGAACACAAACACTTTTGAGCATCACTGAGTCAACGGAAGACCAGGTTTTATTATTATTTATTGCTTAGATGGGTGGTCGAGCTCACAGCTCACCTGGTGTTAAGTGGTTATTGGAGCCCATAGACATCCACAACGTAAATGCGCCACCCACCTTGAGATATAGGTTCTAAGGTCTCAAGTATAGTTACAACGGCTGCCCCACCCTTCAAACCCAAACACATTACTGCTTCACGGCAGAAATAGACAGGGTGGTGGTACCTACCCGCGCGGACTCACTAGAGGTCCTACCACCAGTAAAAAGTAAATAAGTTGTCCGGGGCTGGACGGCGCCCGCGCGTGCTGACCTTGCGTTGTTCTTCGGCTTCTTTTTCCATCCGTCTCCTGGTCTCCCGCTCGGCGCGGTCGTACCTGCGCCAGTAGGCCTGCATCTCGCGACTCAGCCGCTTGCAACGCCACACCGTCTCTTTCATGTTCTTCTGACTCTAGAATATTTTTTTTGCATTTTCAAACCCCTGATTTAGGTAACTAGGTCTGTACATTGGAATTAAGAGATACACCAGTATAAATCACTACATAGTATAAAACAAAATCGCTTTCTCTGTCCCTATATCCCTATGTATGCTTAAATCTTTAAAACTACATAACGGAATTTGATGCGGTTTTTTTAAATATATAGAGTGATTGAAGAGGAAGGTTTATATGTATAATAACATCAATTAAATAGTGGAGAAATCAATAATAATTTACAGTTTCCGAAGCGAAGCGAGGGCAGGTCGCTAGTAATAGATATATAATAGATAGATAACAAAAGTATACAGACATCATTTGTCGTGTTGTTTGTTTTTAGAGGACCAAAAAAAAATTGTCTGGTATCTATTCCTTATTGTTTAGGACGATCCACAATTGATGATTTCGCCGTGAAGTTGTAGATTACGATTTATTGCTTAAATGCTCGATACTACACTTTTTAATGTTAAAGCCGAACTTTCCAGAAGACATCATCAAATGAGCCAACCATAGCGAATAATAAATTTTGAAGTTTTTCCATGTTGTTTGTTTATTTGATGTTTATTTTTGCCATAACTAAACACATATCCAATCAATCAATCAATGAAATTAGTTAGCCAACACGAAATAAAAATGCAAATATCTGCTTTGTATTCTAAGACTAATATCGAATGGGTCGAAATCTTATCACTTCATCTGAACAAATAAATAAATAAAGTACATAATTACCTGCATAGCAATATGCCGCCAATGCTTACAACACAAAGTAGCTAATCTTTTCCTCTGAAGTGTAACTTCTCTATGAGTGGCCGCTCTTGCTCTTTGTACTTTACCCAATTCCTTCTTTACGAGTAAAAGCCAGTGTCGACGCCTTCGTGCTGTTAGCGCTTCCGGACTCTTCAACGTCGATAACTTTTTACGCCCCCTATGTAACATATATTAAAACATCCCTTAAGTTAGTATAAAGGAGATATAGAGGGTTTTTTTTAGCAACAAAAAAAAAAAGGAATCAACACCATTTTTTTTCAACTTATCATGTTAATTTAGTGATGCGTATTTTGCATAAAATTAGGATTAAATTTACATGTACAATGTATCTATATTACATTGAAATTTATATATATATATATATTATTTAATATATATGTAGTATATTTTTTACATTGACAAATCTTACCTGGCCCCCTGTTTATCATTAGCTATGCTAAAATCATCTGGATCATTCTCTTCCTTCAGATGCCGTAACTGTTCCTCCCAATCAACTCCGTCTGGCTGAAATAAATAATTGTTTTTCTTTGTTTTATGAGAAGCTTAATTATGAAATACAAGATTACTATTAGACTTATTATTGTCTTTGTAGACAGATGAGCATACAGCCCACTTTAAGATAAGTGGTTATCGTCGCTCATTAACTACATAATGCCAGCATCACAACCAAGTAAAAAAGAATAATGCTATCAACATTTTTTATTGCAGTGATCTTAGGACTATAGAACTTATGTATATACCCAATTAAGGTAGTTGATCATACAAATTCTATGACGACTTATGACTGTGCAGTATCTACTCTTTACTTTGCAATGGAAATGCTTTGCGTTTTTTAATTTTTCATTAACTTCGTATTATACACATAATACTACTACGAATATTTGATTTTTTGGTGGTTAACTACAAAGGAAAGTTCTTCCACTGAGAGGGTGAGATTGCTCAAATCAACGCAAAATCAATGCGACAGTCCAAATGCTATTGTTTGGAGCTTGTATATTATATGGCACAAACTTGTCTTGAACTACTGCAAAGACAAATTGCTTTTGGAGAACATTTACTTATATTGTTATAATAAATAGGATTTGGATATTAATAAATTGGATATTAAATTGGAATAGCCATTTTGGCAGGTATTGTTACTTAACTCACCAAATCATTACTTTCATTACACCGTGCATCTCGAAGTCTTCCCCTTCTAGATTTACTAAAGCCCCTAGTAGACCCTCTCTCGGATGGACGACCTCGACGACCTCTACTTCCCGGTAGTTGAGGCATGGGTCGACTGACACGGCGTTCAGGGTACCGATCCACAGTAGACAAAACACCAGCCCCATAGTACATGTAGCGGGTGTTCTATTTAAATGAAAATTTTCAACACTTTGTTTATTACTCAACTTGTGAGAATGTTTTCCAACTGCATTACTTATATGCCAATTTGATTTAAAATTATAGACAAATTTTATTGGTAAGACTTGCATATTAAACAGTTTAGTGTTCTATTTATTCTTCAAGGTAGTCAGCATCATTCACTTAGTGGTTTTCATGTGAAATGATTGCAGATGTTTAACTCTCAATGTGTGAAGACAAAGGACTATAACAATAGTTATCAGTCTGGTTTGAGACCATAATGTTCTATTTTAAAACTAGCCTTGTATTTTTTTCTACTTATCTCAATTGATATTCATCCATTGATAGAAACAAGTGCCATGGTAAGAGATGATGTAGGCCCACACTGGTAGGTCTTGGTGTGCCTCTTTTTACAAGAAATAAGGTAATCACTTATCATCAAATAAACCTTTAGTTTCTTTTATTGGTTTTATTAAGATTATTGAGCACCTATTTTACCTGCTTTTTGTTGTCATCACTACTATTTTTTTAGAGTAATTATAAAAATAGTCACATTAAATATCTATAATAGTACTAATTATAAATAATTCAGAAATAATTGAAATCATAAATATCTGTCATAGATGTTTATTTAGTGATGTCTTTATTTTAAGTGCTGTCTTGTCTTAAAAAAATCTTTCACTTACTGTAGGATCTTTATAATAACGTCTAGCATATCTGTTATGATATCTCCTTTCTTTCAATATTCTTTTTAATCTAAGCTCTTTTGACTCTGTTGTTTCATCATCTGTACTTGTTTCGGATTCAGAAGAGAGAAGAACATCTCTTATCCACTGTCTTTCTTCTCCAACGGAAGAGAAATTGTAGAGGCGAAGTCGGTCACTTTGTCGTTCTGTAAAACATTTAATTCAGTTTTCACAATTGATTTTGTGTGAATTGATTTATTAGGTTTGTAATGCTGTGCATGATTAACACTGACCTGGTTTCGTTGTGACAACACCGTGCAGAATTCGGTCATTCCTGGATATTTCATTAATTAAAGATTTAGAATCGTCGTCGCTGTCGGATTGATCATCAGAATTCAGTATCCTCTCTACTTGACTAACGAACGAGCGTATATCCAGTGCAGCCTCTAACCGCTGTATATGTACGGGCCTAGCAACCTCATGTTTCTTCAGCACTGTATTCCTGGCTAGCTTTTCAGACATTGCACTTTAATATACAGAGAAACAATAAATGCCGTGAACCACAAAACTTACGATGACCTTCCCTTATTTAGTTTAGTCATTGGGATAACTGAAAATTAGGAAATATTACACCTAGAAGAAGTTATACTACTTTTCTAAGATGAGACGGAGAAGAGCATATATTTTTAATATTACATTTTACACAGTATTTCTAGTTAGTAGGTATTTAATATTTCTGATACGTGCTGAAGCTGGGCAGACTGACATTTCTTAAAAAATAGCTAGAGTTGTACCTTTAGCTCCTGAGTGAGTGATTTAAAAGAGCTATATCAGTACGGACTACGGATTACGGATGTATGACGACGGGAACATAGGATGATTACGGATGTAATGTGTCACTCACCCGAATATAGCACCGAATTTATCATAGCTCAATGACGGCTTCATAAGGAGCATGGAATGTTGAAGTCGGCGTGGCTAATAGGCTTATTACACTTGGCTGAATTCAGACGACTGAATACAGTCGCTACTAAATTCAGTCAAGTGTAATAGCATTAAGTAAGTTAGTCTACTGAATTCAGTAGCAAGGATGGTTTCTGACTGAATGAATCATTTAGAAGCCTAATTAGAAACGAATTAAGTAAGGTGTAATTGCATTTAGTTACTAAATGGTTTCATTCAGTCGTCCCATAGCTCTCCGGGCGTAAGGACGTTTTAGTTTGTTTTTTTGCTTCCGAATAAAAAGTATGAATTTCGGTCGCCTTTATTTAATGTGCCAGACATTTATAAATAGCCCGACATGTTTCAGGGATAGTTTTTGTCATCAGGGGATGGGATATTGAAGAACTAAATTTTAAATCTTGATACGAATTTCCTGTTGCAAGAAATCTTAATGTTACAACCAATCTTGCTTTTGGACTTATACTATCGGAGGATTAGATATGTAATAGTTATATAATAGATAGTTAATAGACTATCGTAGGATAGTATCCTGCTTTTGAATAAACGGTGTCACAAGGTGTAATATTAGGTCAAACGATATCAAATCCATTTATAGATAATTTTTGAAGTCTTTTGAAGTCTGCTGGTTCTAAATCACTCATAATGTTCATATTTGCTAAGCTCCGCACAGCAATGAACATTTCTTCGCAGATATTCTTGTTTTTTTTTTTTTGAGAAATTGAAACAAAAAACAAAAACAAAAATGATGTGGTATCGTGGGACACCAGGTAGGAACGAAGTTCCTTCGGCTAATGTAGAATCCACACAATTTGCAAAAAAAAAAAACGTGCTCAATTTTATGTAGGTTTTCTTGATTTTTCTCTTAAATTTTGCTGATTAGTTTTTATTTAAGTACAGGAAAGTATTTAGGAAATTCAGTATTTTAGGAAATAATAAATTACGTAAAATAAAAAAAAATCGTAATTCAAATTATCAATTAAAATAACAAAATATGTCCCTTTATTTTTGTTTGAGAACATAAAATTACATAGAAATAGAAATAATTACAAAATCTTTTTTATAAATAAACTAATACTTATGTACGTATTTAATTCTTTTGCACTGAATAATTTCCCACTATTATCACTGTCAATTGTATTCCAGTCACTTGTTAGTTTACTTGCCATTGTTACTATATTTATTATTGTTTTGACGATTTGAAATTATATGAAAATAAACGTGGCTACTCACGAGTAAAATGTATCTATAATGTGAGTATTCGCCACGTGCTTGTCCATGAATTCATGAGTATATACTATGCATTGGCGGGGTGGAGTGGTAATAGAGTGAGAAGGGATGAGAGAACGAAAAGAAAGAAGGAGAAAGAGAAAGGTATTATACACTACTCGCTTGTGTATACGACTGTCGCGCCTGCGCACGTCTCATTTAACGGTTTTATTCCACGGACTTTTTCTTACGGTTTTACTATCACATTTTTTTCAGTTCGGTCGCGCAGCAAAATCCCTATCTCCTCCAAGCCTGCTGTAAGGAACTTCATTCCAACAAAAAAAAAAATTTTTTTGTTGTTGTCTAGACAATACTGGGGCCATCCTCTTACACACACGACACGTCTTACTTCGTCGCGCTTAAGCTGACAATTGATTCTAAATTTGCTTTTGAATTCAGTCGACTAAATTCAGCCAAATGTGATAAGCCTTTAAAGGATAAGACGTCCGGTGCATTCGTATCTAGCGATGCAACGGTGTTCGAATCCCGCAGGCGAGTACCAATTTTTCTAATGAAATACGTACTTAACAAATGCTCACGATTGACTTCAACGGTGAAGGAATAACATCGTGTAATAAAAATCAAACCCGCAAAAAATATAATTTGTGTTATTACTGATGGTAGGACGTCTTGTAAGTCCGTACGGGTAGGTACCACCACTCAGCCTATTTCTGTCGTGAAGTTGTAGGTAATGCATTTCAGTTTGAAGGGCACGGCAGCCGTTGCACTGTTAAAAGTGAGACCTTACAACTTCATGGCGCATGGTGGGTGGCGGAATTTACGTTATGGATGTCTATGGGCTCCAATAACCACTTAGCATCAGGTAGGCCGCGAGATCGTCTACCCTCCTAAGCAATAAAAAAAAATTTTAAGTCTTCAATTTAAATTTGTATTCTCAAAATAAATTAATAGTTTTTTTATATCTAGTTTTTGTTTTAAATCATGGTTTCCAAAACCTTAAGATTAGTAGTATATTAATCATCTCATATGCAAATAAAGTGCTCATAAAATAAAGTGCCTTTTTTTTTCTGAAATTATATTTCGATTGTCTTACATGACATTACAAATACTCATTTAATCCAAATTATACTGTCATTAAGTTAAATTTAATAAAAATTATACTACTATTGCGCTGGCGCTATGACCCCGAAGTGGGTCTTGGCCTCCGACAATAAACTTTGCTATTCATCTCAGCGCTGCGCAGTACCTTGCCAGTCCGACAATTGGACCTCAGGTAATTTTCCTTCCACAGCGTCAGACCAGCGGTACTTGAAAAAATATGACCATTCGCAAACATATATCCCATGCTCGTTAACGGTGCTAACTATTCAGTCATTTTTTACTGCTTTATATAGCATCTTGAGACTGCACTGTATTGTTGATAGTTATGGGCTCCGGTAACCACTTAACACCAGGTGGGCCGTGGGTTCACCTGACTATACAATAAATGATACAATATGCAATATATATACGATATACAACTTTGCAGAAAAACTTTGTAAGGTCTAAAAATTCTTCTATAATATGAAAATAACTTTTGACTATTAATTTAGTTTCTTAATTTAGAAGAAGGATATCAATTTTGGACTGTATTTTGATTTATCAACCAGTGAACTTTTTGGTGGGAACAAGAAGGGTAAATTTACTTGTATCGCTTTATTTTCTCAATCCAGTGTGTATTTCAGCTAAGCGCTAATTAATTCTGTAACTATGACAATGCGCATATATGGGAAAATGATACTAAATAGCCGGACGTAACTTCTCGGGTTCTTTCAGAAATTTAAAGAACTGTTTAATTTCCAATATGTTAAATTTTAATGATATTAAATCACCTACAAAACTACATACAGGTACTACTACATATAGGCACTTCATTATATTTTCGTAGTTGCAAACTGTTTCAAGTCGATTCACAAAAGATCTATGGATTTTACCATTGCCAACTAACTTCACTAACATCATTTGGCATAGATAACCATGGGTGCCAACCAATTCAAATGAAACAGTACCACTCCAAAATTGAATGATTGAAAATCTGACAATTCGCTCTAAACGAATAATTTATAGAAATACTTTGAAAAGTTATATATTTACTAATAAAAAATATACAATAAATTAATAACGCAAAAATAGAATTATAGCATATTTATCCATGTAATACTAATATAAAAGTTTCTAATCTGACTATTCATGTATGTCCGCAACTATTTAACCGAGCAGGAATTGGATATAATCCAAAATGGTTGCCATTTGTTGTGCTTTCAAGTGATTTTTGACTTAGTGTGTTAGTAAGTGATGTTACAAATATGTGTTATTAAGTTGTTTACGAATAGCTCAATTACTTACTCTCAAAATAATAAATTACGTATTGGTGTAAAAGTTTTCAAGTTTTTATTGGTGTAATTGCTGCATACAAAGAAATATTACAGACAGACATCCTTGTGTTAAAAAATATGAAATATTCTTATTGAAGTTAGAGTCGTCGATGTTTAGTGAAAGGACATGTTTCTTTATGTCATGAATCCTTCGAAGACTAGTGGATTCTGATCACTGCAACAAATTATAAACTTTGACACGAAATAAGCGCGGGATTCGTGTAGCTTGGTTTGTTTGGCGTCATAAACAATTAAATTTACTTTTTCTAAAAGCAATATTATTTCTGATCCCTTCGGATGGTCACAATGACGTATTCAACCTAAATATTACATAGAATTGCTTATTGAATTTATGATTTAACATCGGATACCTACCCATATAACTACATAACCTAAAAACCAATAAAGCCGGCTGTTTTGTCGCAATTTCTATCAAGCTATCAAAGAAGTTCTCAAGTATGACGTCTACGTTTCAGATAAATGCTGTATAACAATATAATTTTTCGAAAACATGGATGATAATAATAGTGCACAAAAAAAATCAGATGAAGACATCACGACGGGCCATGGGGATGAAACGGAAGAGGCCAAGTTTGCTAACCAAAGCCCTAATAGCCTTGAACAATCTAGTGAAAAAACCGAAAGTGAAGTTAGTGCAGTGAAAGACATTGAGTTACAAAATCATGTTGACCACAGAGAAAGTACTGAGGAGAATGTTATTAAAAATGTTAGGAGTGATACAGAAATGACTAAAGATGAAGTTGGACTTTCAGAGGTTGATAGCCAAGATGAGTATAAAAGTGGTATGTATTGTGTTAATCAGTAATAAGTAATAATTTATTTACATGGCAAACAAATGCCCATTAATTTGTTAATATTATTGTAATTATCCATCAAATAAATTCATAGAGAAAGGAGACACAGGAGATACACTCAAAGAGGAATCTTTGAGTCAGGATTCATTAAGTCTGGAATCTAAAAACCACCATAACCAAAAGCCTGAGTTCCACAAGGACGATGACACTGAACCAGATAACAAGGACAAAGAAAGTGATAAGGATGATGATAAAAATAAGGAAGATGAAATTTCACCAGAGTTTGAGAAAGCTCCTAATGTTTCTATGGATGAACCACAGGAAGAAGACCACACACAGGTAAATTGCTTTAAATATTTATGGACCTTAAAAATTTTGTTTTGTTTATTCTGAATTTTAGTTTGCTTTTATTTATCTTTTGCACTTCTTGGGTAGAGCAACCAGGACTTGACCTTGACTTAATAAAATTAATTTAAACAATCTGCATAATAATTAATAAATATTAAACCTATACAGTATTGTATAGAAAGCAGTGTGGCTCAATTCCAAAAAAAAAGCACACATGGCTTGTGTGTTATGTGAGACATACATCTGCTGCTTTCACAATTCATTATACTCACACAAAACATGAACTTAAACAGTCAGTGATATTGGTTTCTTGTTTCTAGTAACAGGTAATTAACTATCAGATGGGCTGTGATGCTATATATCTGTTTATGATAATAATACAATAAAGATATTATTTTTACTACATAAGTTATGGTTGCAAAAACATATCAATGAAGTCGTCGTGGCCTAACGGCTAAGACGTCCGGTGCATTCGTGTTGAGCGATGCACCGGTGTTCGAATCTCAGGCGGGTACCAATTTTTCTAATGAAATACGTACTCAACAAATGTTCACGATTGACTTCCACGGTGAAGGAATAACATAGTGTAATAAAAATGAAACTTGCAAAATTATAATTTGCATAATTACTGGTGGTAGCACCTCTTGTGAGTCCACGCGGGTGGGTACCACCACCCTGCCTATTTCTGCCGTGAAGCAGTAATGTGTTTCGGTTTGAAGGGTGGGGCAGCCGTTGTAACTATACCTGAGACCTTAGAACTTATATCTCAAGGTGGGTGGCGCATTTACGTTGTGGATGTCTATGGGCTCCAGTAACCACTTAACACCAGGTGGGCTGTGAGATCGTCCACCTATCTAAGCAATAAAAAAAAATAAAAACATAAGTAACAATTTTGTATTACAAGACCTTTCAATATAAAATAAACTAATATATAAAATAAACTAATAATAGAGAAATAACAGGTAAAATAGAAATTAGGAAAATCTCTGTTCATAAGAGGTTTGAATTGACAATGACACAAATGGTTATCTCTTTTGCAGGCATTGGATCCATTTGATGCTCTTCTCAAAGATACATCTTCATTACCTGAAAAATCAAAGACTGCCAGTTTAGATGCATCTATTAACATTGATGATGAGGATGATGATATCAATGCTGATGACATTGATGGGGACTTAGGAAAGGAAGCTGAAGATGATCATGCAGGTAAAAAACATATTTTGTTTCCCTTGAAAAAAAATGGTCATTCCAAAAAATATTAGAAGATTGTGATAAATTTTCAACATAAACTTTAAATATAGACCGTAGTTTGTGTTTGACCTCTGTAAGAAAATATTTATTAAAATATAAATATAAAAGAAAATATGAAAGGAATCTGAAAATCTGAGGTTCATTTTATTGTATTCTTGGTTGAATGAACTCATGGTCCATATGACTTGAGGGATGAGGTTAAAGTCTCAATTATATTCCTCCTATAATGTTTCACTCTTCAAACCAAAACACATTACTGCCTTGCAACAGAAGTAAACAGCATTTGTGCTACAAAATTTGAAGTATGCAATTTTGTAATATTTGCAGGATTCCTTTATATTACATTATATTATACCTTCATTGCGAAAAACATTAGTATAAAAGTAGATAAGTATGTATTTCCTTAGAAAAACGATTTTTTTTGTTAAATAATCTTATTGAATAAAATCATTTAGGGCAATCAATTGATGACAGCAATGTGTCAGGAATAGCTGAAGAGCCTGGTGCTGATGAAGAGGTGTGCTTATTACCAGACACCGAGCGGGAAATCTCAGAAGCAGACAAAGCTGAAGCTGAAAAAGTATTAGCAGAAAAGAGGAAACAGGCTGAAGGTAAATCAATTGTTAAAAAACAATAAAAATTTGAGAACAGAATATCCTGGGCTGGCTGAATGCCGAAGATTCCTGCACTCAAGGGGCGCGTATATTAGTCTGCGGGAATAGTTAATTACCAAACGAAGATCCTGCAGTCTCGTCTGATGCAGGACTCAGAGAGGCAGAATGGATTTACCCCAGTCAACAATACAACTAGACGTGTGAGTCACCCTAAGGAGGCCCGGCTAGTCTAGGACGGTCGCCAGCGACAAGTCTGCTTCGATCTGTGCGACGAGGACACGGCGCTGCCCCCCTCATGGTGGGGCAGGCCTGTGCTCCACTTTCATTGACATAATAGTGAAATAACAGTGGCCAGTTAACACATACCTCAGCTGAGAATCCTGCCTATTTTAGCATTCAGCATTTTAAATTCTATTTAAAAAAAAATTGATTAGCCATTCGTACAAAGCAGTGTGATTTCTACTTTGTGGCTGAATGTGGTGTGAAAAATAATTTGCTGTTATGGGTCGTCCTATCTTCTACATTCACCAAAAAATATTAAAATAGGGCTTAAGTTATCACATTACACTGAAATCAGTTTATGGTTAAAACGCATATACCAGCTGTTACCATTTGACTCCATACAGAAGAGGGTCGTTCGGATTGTCGATAATCCCATTTTCACAGATCTTTGGAACCTCTGGGTCTGCCGAGGAACTTCTTTTCACTCTGCATTTCGTACTGTATGTTCCATGGGGAGTGCTCTGAACAATTGTTTGAGATGGGGATCATCTCAAACAATTCTCAATCCGCCACGAGTTCATCCATAGTGCATTTCCAGAGATTTTTTCTCATGAATTATCTGACTGGAATGAGCTGTCCTCCACATTATTTCCAGAGTTACTATGACATGTCCTTCTTCAAATGAGGCTTGTGGAGAGTATTTAAAGGTTGGCTCGGTCCTTGGCATTGGAAGTCTATGGGCGACGGTAACCACTCCTTATCAGGTGGGCCGTATGATCGTCTGCCTATAAGGGCAATAAGAAGAAACTGTGTTGTATTAAAATGAATTATTTTAAAATCAAATAAAATATTTTAGCTGAAGCTGCATCACTAGCAGTACCCAAACAGGAGCATGAACCCAATGCTGAAGCTAATTCTGATGAAACACCTGTTGATAATGCGGATCAAATTGAAGCAGCTGAAGATCCTGCACAGGAAAATGGAGGTATATTGAAAATTATATATTGATTGAAAGAAAATATTTCTTTTCAACTTTTTTTCATTTGCCTGCTTTAAGCAATTTTTACTATAGGAAATTGTATATATTGCAGTAAAAATATATTGCAAAATAAATTAATGATTTAATGAACATTGGTTCAGTGATCAATTGATTGAATTAAGAACCTTTCAACCAGGTGGGCATGAATGAGCTCGCCACCCATCCNAATTATATATTGATTGAAAGAAAATATTTCTTTTCAACTTTTTTTCATTTGCCTGCTTTAAGCAATTTTTACTATAGGAAATTGTATATATTGCAGTAAAAATATATTGCAAAATAAATTAATGATTTAATGAACATTGGTTCAGTGATCAATTGATTGAATTAAGAACCTTTCAACCAGGTGGGCATGAATGAGCTCGCCACCCATCCAATCAATAAATATAAAAAAAATTCTCATTAACAGTATATTACTTTTTATAGATAAAGACAATGAACATGATGAAAGTATAGATACAGAAGAATCCACAGTTACTAATATTATTCAGGAGAGTGCTCCCACTGAAGGGAAATGTGTACAATGCACTACAGTAAAGCCATGCTACTTCCGATTTACAAAAAAAGGAGATACTATGTTGCTGTGCAGTGAAATGTGTGAATCAAGATATGAAACTCAAAATCCAGGACAATATAAGATAACCCAAAAAAAATATTTAATTGAAGAAATCGTTCCTAACTATTTATCATGTTCAGAGTGTGAGGAAATGAAAGTTTGTTATTTCTATTACAATTACGACGGCGAAGACACGAATTATTGTTCTCTAAGTTGTTTATACAGTATGATGGCCGATGAGAGAGAAAAGTATACATATAAACGAAGAAAAATAGTCGCACAAGAGGTTGAACCAGTTGAAGGTCAATGCTGTGTTTGTAATCAGATGAAAAACTGTAAATTCACGATAACTAAGTATGGGGAAAAACTTTTAATTTGCGAAGCAAATTGTATTCACACTCTGAATTCAGAAGAACAAGGCAGGTATATTCTTAAAATGCTTAGGCCTGTTAGAAAGCAACCAACAAGAAAAAAAGCAAACCCACCTCTGTTAAAATTGAAGGTTATCAGCAATGCCACAGACAAGTACTTAGATGAAGCATATAAAATTCAAGCAAAAACACCTGCCATGGTTCAAGCCGCTAGGGAAGAAAGGGATAGAACATTTTTACGTAAATGTACCTATTGTTATATGTTACTTGATGTAAATGAGAAAATGTTGGTTTGGGAGACAATGGACTTTTGTGGTGAAGTGTGTTTAGGACGATATCAGAATAAAATTGGATCTAGATGTGCAAACTGTAAGAATCCAGTGCTGCATACAAGCTTGGGAAAATATTGTGTCAGATTTGGTTATGACATCCGACAGTTTTGTAATTCGGCATGTTTAGAAGAGTTTAAGAAAGGATTGAAGATATGTTGTTATTGTCAAAGAGATATCTCCTCTGGTCACCAAGGTTTTCTGGCTCCTGTTGGTGATAAAGGCCAATTCAAAGACTTCTGTTCTCAAAACTGCATGGGAAAGTTTGATCAGATGAGTAAGAATCCAATACCGCAGGCGGTGTGGGCGAAGTGCGCGGTGTGTTCTTTAGAGAAGGCCACAACGATTGAGGTTGAAGTTTCCGAAGAAGTAACACAGAGATTATGTTCAGATCCATGTTTTGCTGCATTTAAATTTGTAAATAATATATTTCCAGGTGTGTGTATAATCCTCTTATAAATATATTAAATAATCACAGTTTTCAATGTTGCTACCAATGTGGTTTTCTATTTAAAATTATTCCTATTTACAGATCAGTGTCGATGGTGTAAAAAGTACTTTGAAAGAAAATTGACAAAATGTTTTTCGATATATGACGACACAGAGGCGATATGTTTTTGTTCAAAGTCCTGTCTAAACGTGTATATAAGTAACACTCGACACATAGTTCCCTGCAGTTGGTGTAAAGTGAAAAAATACAACTTTGATATGATAAAGCGGATACCGGCAAGCGGACAAGCAGTGTTGATGTGTTCTCTTAATTGTTTGAATCTCTACCAAGTTTCCATAAATGCTGTATCATCGAGAAGGTAAGCTCTTACTGTATTTAGATTTTTAAAAGATACCTTGAGAAAATTACCTGTCAATGAGATCAGTTTGCTTAAAATTCCTTATTGTCCTTTACTCCTGTAATTCTTCATGGGTTTGATAAAAAGGTGCTAAGAAATTCATCGAAGTCTACGTAAAAGCACCTGTCGGCGAATAGAAGTGTATCTGGTGGTAGGATTGGTAGTGTTACAGTTAATACTCATATATTTGTATTGATATCAGCTTTAAATTCTTCTGAGTGGGCATTAATTTCTAAAACCAAATATGTACCTTACTCGTGTCCACGAACGTCAGATCTTGTTATGAATATCTATGAAAGTATGATGATTGTAAAATTGCGTTATTACTGAAGGTAACCACATCACCTGCCTACTCACTGCAGCAGTCCTGTGTTTCGACTTAAGACAATACGATTTATGTTTAAAGGTTGGCGATATTGATAACAACGCGCGCCCCATATTCTTCTGCCTATTGATCACAACAAACAAAAGAAACTCAATCCTTTAATTTCATTTTCAGGACCAAATGTGACCTGTGTAAAAGAACGTCATTAGCTCAATACCATTTGACAATGTCTGATGCGACAGTTCGAAACTTTTGCACGTATCAATGCGTCATGTCATTTCAGGTAAGATTTAAAAGTATATGTTAAAACAAGGGTGCTGCTTGTTTCCGATTGCCTCATTAACTCTCGGTTATCATGTAGGGTCAGTACTCAAAGCACACACCTCCACTACTCCCCGGCGAGTCAATCGATCAACAGAAAGCGGTCCCGACAGGCGCACCGAGGCGAAATTACAATGCTTCTGGGAAAAATAATAGTAAGATATATATAAGAGATTTAATAACAAAACACTGCAATAATCACAAGATATCAGAATTTTTACATTATAAGCGAAATAAAAAAACCTAACAAAACTTATTACAGCACAACGAACAGCCAGTGAAGGTTTACCAGTAATCTCAAACGTGCAATCTCTGGCCAGTCCGAGTCCCTCTGTGGCCATCACCCGCGGCAAGTCCAAGCGGCTCGCCCAGCCCCCGCCCGCAGCCGCGCCCCCCGCCGCTCCCCCCACCCCGCCGCCGCCTCCTGCGCCACCCACACCGCCGCCCCCGCCCCCGCCCAAGGTCTACAACCACGTCATCGTCAAAACGCTACCTCCTCGAGAGGTGGCCAACAAAGGGACCATGTCGAAGCCGATGATGGTTTCCAAAGGGGTCTCATGTCGACCCCATCCCTGTACGAAGGAGTGCCAGACAGACTCGAGCTTAGAACGAAAAGTTTTGATCCCTGTCCCGGTTCCGATATATGTGCCGGTGCCGTGCGTCATGTGGTCTCTGCCGTTCCCTGTCCCCGTACCCATTCCCATTCCGGTACCCACTCCGGTCTTCATTCCGACGACGAGGAACTCCGCTAAAGGAATAATGAAGGAAATAAACAAGATACACGACAAGATGCCCACAGATCCATTTGAAGCGGAGTTGTTGATGATGGCTGAAATGGTAGCCGGGGATAAGAAGAAAGATCAAAGTGATTCAGATACTGATGACGATAATGGTACGCAAAAAAAAAAATTGTTCGATTTTAAATGCGTAGGGATTAATTTGAAATGCTTAGAGATATATTATCATTTATGTCTTGAGACATTAATGTACTATTGAAATTCATGATTCCCATTTAATTTTCTAGTATTTATTTTGTTCATTATTTTGGTCTCACTTTTATAATTTTACTACAATTTTTATCAACAATGCTACTTTATATTACTTTACTAGAAATAACACAAAAATGTCAATAGACAGTTGATGATATGCTTTTTGAATTTGAAGCTGATTTCAATTATAATCTTTGGTCAAAGTAATAAAAAAAAGGTTTTTAAAAAGAAATAAATTATTTTGATCAGCGGAAGAAGGATTCAGCCCCGTAGCAGGCATGGACGGTAATAATGCTTTCGGAGAGGACATGCTGCAGATGGCTTTAAAAATGGCCACGGAATACGAAGATCAACCGGTAGACTTAGAATCTGCAATGACAGCTAACACTATCACTCCGAGCTCACATCCCGGAATGCCTGGTGAGTGCTACACTATGAAATTAAACTCTTCACAAGTATGAGATGATGGCAGTTGTATATTAAACAAAGAACGCGAATGCGTCACCCTCGTTTGCGCCAAGTAATTTATTAACTGACTTTGTAGGTAAGAGACAAAACGATACTTGCTCATTTGAGAATTGTTATCGTCCGATTTTAATAAATATCTGTGACATTTTCAAGCATGTGTTTGAGTGTACACTTGCATATGGCCTGTTTACATTTTTATTAATGTGAGTGGTGTCATGTATTGCATAGCAGTTTAAAACAGCTTATGAAGTGAAAGCATGTCTAAAGCTGATTCATTTGATGTATGCTGAAAATCATGTAATAAAAGTGTGTAGAATAGAAAATAAAGGCACTATATGACATACACTAATCTGTAACAACATGAACAAGCTCCGTACATATATTAAACGCCTACACTAATCACTACTAATAATCATTTGGATTGAATTGTTCCAACCTACCACTCATCACAGTGGACCATCACTTGAGAAAAAAAGGGCAAGGAAGGAAAGAAAAAAGAAAATAAATGAAAGTTAAAAAAATAATAAGAAATCCATTGGGTGTCTTTCATAGTAGTTATTCTAGAATCTTAGCGTTTTGAAGTCTGAATAAGCTTATCAGTATACCACATTAAGTGTAATTCATAATTCTAATATAATTAATGCTTTTGCCCCCCACTTCGTCCGCGTGGAATAGTTCACAAATCATGCTTTATTTTAGGACAAATTTGGTTAGCATAAAAAACGTTATAGTGAGCCAACCTTAATATATATATATATATATATATATAACCAATATATATAGACATAATTATGGTGATGCGGACTTTTTTTAGATCTTTTAAAGGGGAACAATTTTGTCGTACATTATTATAGCTAAAGTAACTGTTTCTGCAGCGCACGCAGCGGAAGTTCTCAAAGGGGAAAAAAAATCCCGATTTTGAAAAATTATTGGTGCTCCGCTTGTATTTGTCTTAGCGTGATGTTATATAGCCTATATTCTTCCTCAATAAATGGGCTATATAACACTGAAATAATTTTTCAAATCGGACCAGTAGTTCCTGATATTAGCGCGTTCAAACAAACAAACTCTTCAGCTTTATAATATTAGTATAGATTAGAATTACGAAGTACGAACAAACATGGGCATACCACTAGCCGCGTTAAGAGAAAAAGTCGCAGTGTGAATCGTAAGGAATAATGGTACTAGCGATACTAATTGTGGTTACAGGTCTAGAGGGTGACGGCATGCACCACCACCACCTGATGGTGATGGAGCAGCAGCGGGCGGTGGCGGCGCTGCGTGCGGCGGGCGGCGCGGCCCGCAAGCGAGTGCCCGCGCCCGCCGCGCCCCCCGCCGCGCGCCCGCAGCGCTCCGGCAAGAGGCGCCGCGCCGACCCGCCGCCGCCGCAGCCCGACCCGCCCAGGGAACCCGCAGAGAAACCTGACGCCAACATGTGCCTCAAGGTCTGCCCCCACACTTCATACACTGGAATTTACTTTCTTAGATAACTCTATTACAGATCTTCGACAGATTTGTGCCTTTTTTTATTGCTTAGATGGGTGGACGATCTCACAGCCCACCTGGTGCTTAGTGGTTACTGGAGCCCATAGACATCTACAACGGAAATGCGCCACTCATCTTGAGATATATGTTCTAAGGTCTCAAGTATAGTTACAACGGCTGCTCCACCCTTCAAACCGAAACGCATTACTGCTTCACGGTAGAAATAGGCAGGGCGGTGGTACCTACCCGCGGGGACTCACAAGAAGTCCTACCACCGAGTAATTACGCAAATTATAATTTTGCGGGTTTGATTTTTATACACGATGTTATTCTTTCATCGTGGAAGTCAATCGTGAACATTTGTTGAGTACGTATTTCATTAGAAAAATTGGTACCCGCCTGAGATTCGAACACCGGTGCAACACGAATGCACCAGACGTCTTATCCTTTAGGCTACGACGACTACCAGACGACTATTTTATGAATTGCTATGCTTAATTGTAGAGCGAAGCTTAATCTAACAACCCTTCCATCACTATGGCGGGAACACGAGGAGTGAAGTTGTGTGATTTGTTTTATTTTGTCTATTTAGTGTTTCTTCAGGTTTAAATGTGTAATAACGGTGGTTTATTAACTGTTTAATATCTGTGAAAGTGCACAAATGTGGGAAAACGAAACAAAGTCGCTGGGCGTAACTTCTCGGGATCCTCCAAAAAGTCCACTGAAAAAATCTCAGTAAATGACCACCATTTTACTGAGATTACATTTCATCCCATATCATCTAATCTCATTTCATTTAATTTCATCCCAGTTGATTAATGTCTCAAATTAATAATCTTCATTTCACCCCATGTTATGATTTTTCATAAAAATACGAATATATAAATTAAAATAAGACATAACTTAAAGGTCTTAGTAACCAGGTCATGGGTACCCAGTAAGTAATAAAAAAAATAAGTAAAATATTTAGGCATTTGTTCAACAATTGTAAAATGATTGAACTATAAATAATATTGAAAATATAAATAATAAATATAAAAAGATTGAATAGATTTTGACGAATTATAAAATTGTATTTGTAAATAAATCTAATAAAATTTCAGTACACGTTCGGCGTGAATGCGTGGAAACAATGGGTGATGACGAAAAATGCCGAAATCGAGAAAAGTTCGATACGACGGAAACCTTTTAAATCGGAGATACTGCAGCTAACTGCAGATGAACTGAACTACTCCCTGTGTCTGTTTGTGAAAGAAGTGAGGAAACCGAACGGCAGCGAGTACGCTCCCGACACTATTTATTATTTGGTTTTAGGTAAGAAACTCTTCAACCTGCTCTGATAATGGATTCCCAAATCATTGTTCTTTGGTTAGAATTTGGTAAAAAAAAAGATGTGCGGTGTCGTGGGACACCGGATAGGAACGAAGCTCCTTATAAATATATTCATTTTAAGTTCTATTCGAGGTATAAAGAAAATAAAACTGGAGGTTTCGCAACGACCCACGGACACTCGGTAACGTGCGAACTTATTGTGGTACACTTCATTCACGGATGTTTGCATAAGAGTTAGTGTATTCCGCAAACGAACGCTCTGAGATCGTGGTCAATGAATGATAAAAAAATGTTATTTTTTGTACGTTATTACAAAGCTAAGTCGTACACTGTTTGCATGACTAATAAAAATCTTACGTTACAGACGTTTTTTCCTGTTTAGGGTACCCCTCCGCATCGTCCCATAAGGAACTTCGTTCCAAAACTATCGATAAAATCTACATATAAATTTTGTAATGACAAAACACACTTAACTACTAGATTCTCATGTATTTGTTAACTTAAATTCTTATTCTTGTAAGAGAGACGCTGTTTGAAAAATGCAAAGATTGATGGTATGTGTGATTGTACTGATTAAGTCATAACTGAGATGAATTGTTATATGTTATGTACGTTATAAATTGAGATAAAAAAAAATTAAAATGTATGTATGAATCAGTCAAATGAGTATTTAATTGTATATTATTGTAATTGTTAATTGGTTTTATTCTCCTTTACAGGTATACAGCAATATTTGTTTGAAAATGGTAGAATAGACAATATATTTACAGATCCGTACTACGAAAAATTTACGGATTGCTTAGACGAAGTCGCTAGGAAATTTTCAGTATTGTACAACGATTCACGTAAGTACATCCATTACTTGAATGTAAACATAGACACGCCAATGAAGAACGTAGAATCAGATGGTTTATATGTGAATGCAATGATTGAAAACATATATAATAACAAATTTGCACGTCGCTTCACGTATTTCGTCTGTCCATTGTATGGTTGTTGAGTACGAATATATAAGTATTTGAAAAGTTAGAAACTTTACAATGTATAAAATAAATACAAGAATAAATATACGATTATTCTTTTAAATGAGACTACTGTTTTAATACAACTTTACAATAGATACGGAGTATGTTTGTTTGGTCTTTTCTAAAGTAGCAACGGATCATGATTCTTTGCATGATCCTAGAAAGAGATTTTCCACAGCATTACCTACTTTTTGCCCCAAATAATATTGTTCATTTTAGTATCAAAATTTTTACGCTACTGAAGTCACGATCACACCTAGGATTTCAAGAAAATGATTGATAATATCTATGCTTTTTATTGCAGAATACATAGTCACACGTGTAGAAGAAGAACACCTATGGGAAAGTAAACAGTTGGGAGCACACTCGCCACATGTACTGCTATCCACATTGATGTTTTTTAATACGAAACATTTTAATTTAGTGGTGAGATTTAAATGATTTTTATGTCTAGTTTTCATATAAACATGTCACTAAACTTTGTTATACCCAAGCAATGATCCGTGCCCGGCATGAGCCTAGATAGATCTTCGATCTGATTCGTGAAGTAAACAATTGAATCTTGTATCATTTTTAAACTGGAAACTAGTGTAATTTTGTATAGATTACAAAATCTATCTTATAAATATCTAAATACTAAATAGGCTATACCAATGTCACTATAAATGCTATGTTTCAATCTTGTTCCATTGCCTGTAAAAGGCTACTAGGCTAAATGTATTAGCAATAAAACTTAATTTAACAAGGTACATTTATATCAACTATTAAATAAAACCTTTAGAAATGTTTCTAAACATTGTTCTTACAATGTTTATTGGAATCCGATCACTAGCGTTTTCAAAAGTCTCGCCACGTTGTCGGAGATGGCCTGTGCAAATACGCCATCGCCTCCGCACACCAAACACACACCAAAGTTTAAAATGTTCATGGTTATCTAAGTTGTTTCAAGTTGAAGACTTCTTTGACTCTAGTCTTTCAGGATACCGTAATATTGAAAATTACAAATTCTAAAGAAATAGTCTAGATATTTGTACAGATATTTCGAGCAGTACAAAGTAAAAGGTCCATGATAATTCATATACATTGTTGTGATGACTTACAGACCGTAGAGGAGCACATGCAGCTGTCGTTCTCTCATATAATGAAACATTGGAAAAGAAATCCTAATCAACCTGGCCAAGCAAAGATACCGGGCTCAAGAAATGTGTTATTGCGTTTCTATCCTCCACAATCAGCATTAGGTAAGTTGTAAATTTGTTTCTCGGAAATGATATGAGAGAAACTAAACCAGTAGGCGTATTGTTTATTTGCAAGACTATGCTAGGCTGTCACAGTTTCGAGAATTAGTGTTAGATATATTGACAAATTGCAATCATCATCATACAATCTTGTCTAAATTATATCTATAGGCAGTTATGTTGCGATCCATACTAGTGTTGTTATGGTCATACTTGTAATAACTAACCTGATATCATTATAATAAACGAGTATTTATTTATAGCTATGCTCAGAAAATTAACACAATTTTCCATTAATAATTATTGTTTCAACTTTGTAAACGATTTACAAAAGCCCTGTATTTTAACTTTACAGAAGCAAATTCAAGAAAAAAGAAAGTATATGAACAACAAGAAAATGAAGAAAATCCACTTAGATGTCCTGTAAAACTATACGAATTTTATATTTCGAAATGGTATGTTCGGCTTGAACATTATATATGGTATTAACAGCGATCATATCTCTTATTCAGTTTTAACTTTTAATTTAGACATAAATATGTATATTTAATGCCTCCTATGTCAGACTTATGGTCCAACCGATGGTATAATGTCGCTATTGTCGCTATCATGGCTCATGCACATCTGTAATGTGTGAATCGCTGGAGACGTCACAGCATCCAAGGTAGTGGTAAGGTTGAATAATATGTGGTAATCATGAGGCATTAAAATTCACTGTCAGTGAGCATTGTGATTCTAATTATCATCTCAGACAGTTCCTCATAGCATGTTTTAGCTGTGAATTAAAGCTTGTATTTGAGGAGTTACTATTGACAGGCTGCAGTAAGTTACAAAGTGATTGTGTTTAATATCATGGGGCCGCTTCCGGTTCTGCCGGTGTAATGAAATATAAAATTATATATTCAACTATAAGTAGGCTTTTTACATCTGTAATGGATGCCAGTAAAACTAACGAAACAAGTAAGCACACTCTCGCCCAAACACCATGAATGTTTCATATAGATTTTGTCACTGACAGGAAATCCAGCTTGAACCCTGTGGATGTCAAAGAATATTTCAGAATTTGTAAATTATCGAAGACAGTTAAAAATTTAAAGAATAAATTTGCTACAGACGCGATTTAAATGAAATAATTATTCAGCCCAGAGTCCGTGCGCACGCGGAATGACGTATTCTACCTGCAACCTGAGAGGTCCTGCGTTCCTGACTCGCCAGTTTGGTATTCCACGCAGCCGCTCGGAAAGAACGCCCTCGCTAAAATGCTGCATAGAGTGAAGATGGTCAAAGAAATCAATATCGCTCTTCTCACTAGCTAAGGTATAATTTTTTCTTTAATTTTTATAAGTTTAAAACTATACTTGATCTGAGAGTCCGTATTCTGTTTTGACGACACAAATACACCACTCGCATTAGCGATATATAGTGAAATATTAAGTGTGTAACTAAATACGTTTCTGTCTAACTAAGAAAACATACATCTTAATCTTATTAACATTCAACATTCTCTTAATATTCTCTTGCCTTTTCTTTTAATTCTCATTTTGAACAATTTTAGTAACAGATGCTGAAACTGCAGATTTAAATTATTTTTTTAAAGGAAGAACTACAGTTGACCTGAAGGCCTTTCTAGTTTTACTAGAACAGGTGGGCGAGCAAAGACTTAGGCTAGGAGGGGATTGAATGATGTAATTGGCATTGGAGGCCCTGTCCATTAATCAGAACGGCTAAACCTGAGGCCTCAGTCGAGTGCAAAAAAGTGACTTAACTTTAATTTAATATAATATTTTGTTGCAGACCATATCCGACAATACAATTTTTGGCGTACCATAGTGCTCCGATACGATCTCGGCGACATCTCTGCATTTGGTTCAGTGGTCGTATCTCTCTCTGGAACCCTGTGTTGTGACAAAATCAGGACTTTGTACATTTTTACATTTTTTATATCAATCCAACAATGACTAGCAAAAAATACGGTATTAAGTTATGTTTTTATAATGTTGGAATGTTTTAGATGTAAGATATACTGCGCGGGACTGTTTTAATATGTACAGTTTGAATAGAATAAAATAATATCACATTTAGTTTTGTTTAAGTAATTTTAGTTTCGTGTAAGATTATTGTTTGTCTTCACATTAGGATTCTGTTAGTTGTCTGTCAATTTAGGTTCCTTTAAAACTGTATATACGCATAGCGGTTTCATGAATCATGTGATTTAAAAGGGAGGTTTTTTTTGCAATGTTTTTCTCTATCCTTCAGTGCCAGACGAATGAATTCTACTAAAATTAATATTACGAAATTGTAATGTCGGTATATACTAATATATATGAATAGTTTATAAGCTAAAAATTCCATATTTTTGTGTTTAGGAAATTACTTTTATTTTATTTTAGCGTTCATTCTATTACGGGAATAATTAGTTATCTTAAAGTTCTCGCAAATAGGAATCTTATTAAACTAATATTATAGTTTAGAGAAAGAGTCAGATTCGTATTATATTTTTAAGTAAAAATGCGTCAGCTATTATTTAGGTTAACTGCTGTGTAAAAAGAGTATTGATTCTATATATAAAGCTTTGTTTTATTTGTCCTTTTAGCTTAGCCCACTGAGTTTCTCGCCGGATCTTCTCAGTGGGTCGCGTTTCCGATCCGGTGGTAGATTCTGCAAAGCACGGCTCTTGCTAGGGTTCGTGTTAGCAACGTCGTCAGGTTTGAGCCCCGTGAGCTCACGCTGAAATAGCCTCTCAAGGCTCTCAGCTTAGGTAAAAAAAAGTTCTTTTAGTTTACAGAAAAATAATGTTCAAGTGCTGTTTCAAAGTGCGTAGCTTAATTGACTAAGAAGTAGTTTTCCTAAGTGCTATTATTCTAAGTCGCTCTCTTCATTGCTGAAGGTCTAATTTGAAATGTGGACCACTCGATGCACAATGCTTCCCCATGTCTTTCTGTCCTCGGCGGTCTTTATAGCCTCTGTTATTGGCAGGCCGGTGAGCGTCTTTACCAGATCAGATCAGCGGGTAGGTGAGCGTCCGCGTGATCTTCTCTCGTCAACTTGACCAAGTGCTAGTGCAGCTGTTGGGTACGCAGCACGTCACCCGTGTCAATAAGGCGAGTGACGTTAACCCGGGTTGGACGGGTTTATTAATCTTATAAGATTTCTTGAAATCCTTATTAATTGCCTCATAATGAGGACCGTCTTGTACAGAGAACAAAATGAAGAAGTGTCCACCTACCTGTAAACAGCACGTTAATGTTCGAAGATTCACCGAAGTAGTGTTGCTGTAGAAAATGGAAATTGTATGAATATAGCAGTTTTAAACTGAAGTTTGCTGGGTTGAAATATTTAATATTCTTCGTCACTTGTGTAGTTAAAAAATAAGCAGGATTTAAAATCTCTGCTAATACTATTTAAGTAGGCAGTGTTTGTCTTTCTTAATTTATTACCCTATTCTAATAATTTATGACGTTGTTTTTAAAATCTCTCCTATTGCTTCAATTGCAATTGCTCTTCAATTGCTTGGCGCCACCTTATTTGGCTCTTTTTCAGCGCTCCAATTTAATACACTGAGCTGGTCCTCGTTAATTGGTAGGATTGGAGGGTAGTCTACCGGCTGCATTCTGAATTTTGTTTTACGTTAATTTGTTAATCTAAGGCAAAGGGAATATAGTCCTCATACCCAAACCAAGTGATAAAGTTAAACGCAAGCCTTCAATGTTAGGCGCTAAAGTCATAGGGAGTCGTAAATGATAAGACTTCGGTAAACTCGTAAATGAGCGATCTCACTACGATCAAATCAACGGGTAGGTGCTGTTTTTTTTTCTAAAGAAAGGCTTGCTTAACTTGTGTTCACGAGTAATTTCTACGATGACAATAACTGTAATAAAAGTGGGAGAAAATTACAATTTGTAAAATTTCAGTATTGGGTAGGGCGCCTTGCACGGGCAAGCGTCATACTGTATATTTATCGCAGATTAGTCATGCGTTTTGGATTAAAAAAAGTACGACCTGCAACATGCTACTAACGACAACTGTTTTTGTAAAGAGTGCCCCATTAAGAGTTGGTAATCTTTCATGTAAGATTTTCCAATTTTTTTTAATTAAGTGTAGATTTCTGATTCTTATCTCGGGATAAATGAGCAAGATAACATCGGCCCTTTTGAAGCTCAGCGGTTACAGCAATCCATAGACATTATGACTGGCGAGAGTTTAGGCGAAAGCTTAGATTATACACTTAATATATTCGAGAGGCGAAAGCCAGCGCGCGGTAAAATATTAACATCAATTTCTTTACATATTTATTATTACGTTATTTGTATTGTGATAATTCGCAAATATTTATTATAAGACAAGATTACACTGAACGCAAATTCAATAAGAAGATATCATTCTGTGATATTGATTCAGAAATAATAAACCGTTCGCTGAGATTAAAATTAGCACAATGCACTATTCTTCAGAACAAATTGACACTATTGACAGTTGGTATTTTTCTGAATGAGTGTAATGAGTGTATACAATGTTGAATGTACGAAATTTTACAAAATAGTACGGTCACCATTCGCCATCATCAAATGCGTTTTGCCTTTCCGTGTTGAAAAATTAACGGTTTGTGATTAACAAGCACTTTATTATTATGTAGTTGACATGAAAATTCCTCCAAATATTAAAGAGGTAGTTCCGTTTCAATTTTGGCGGGACTATCATCAATCACATCGTTTGTCGAAGAATAGTTCAATCTGTCACTTGTCGCCCCTGGCCTCGAATTCATATTTCTTACATTTTAGCCGTTCAATATAAAATTAGCAGTGGAATTGGTGGTGACCATTAGATGTGGACATTGAACGATGTGTTGCTTGTAAGGTTTGATATGGATAGGCGAGTTTACTCTGATTACGAAGCAGACGTGTGCGATCCTTTGGGTTCAGTTGTTGAGTGGTCAAGACAGGGGCCGGCCCGCATCCTGCGGCGGCGCTGTCGAAGTGAGGGTGTCGACCGTTCACCGTACGAGGATGTTAGTCGCGAACGCCGCTCCGCCGACGGAATACCACGCCAAAACCGGCAGTCTAACAAAAGCTTCTTCACGCTGAACGTTGCTGATACGTACCACGATAGATTTCGCCACGAGTGCTCTCCCACTGCTGAGAACGGAGACTACATGGCGCACGATCAGGACAGATATCATAGGTGAGCTAAAAATTTATTTCAATTTATTTCCGATTTTAATTGTATTTTGGTTCTTTCTAACCTAAAAATATTTATTATTTCTTGTATGATTATCTTAATATGGTAAAATTACACAGTCACTTTAATTGTAACTAAAATATTGTTGGAAGATTCAATGATTCACACACATTAGTTTGTACTCAAATAAAAATGTCTTTTCTGAATCTTAAATATTGATAGAAATATGTTTTGCTGACAATACTTTGTCCTTAAGAACATTACATTTACTCTAACCTACAAACAATATGTTACTGCAATACTAATGAATCAAACATTTCTTTTTAGCTATCAGCCATCAAAATCAAGATTTTATAGAACAAGTCCTACCAGACCATTATTAGTAACCACATTATCCAATACCAAAGTAGATGACAGATTGCCCAAAGTTGAAGAATTGTTTGAGAAACTTGACCAAGATATGATGGATGTCCACAATACAAAACAACCATTGAAATCAATATTAAACAATCCTTTTTTAAAGTCACCACCTCAGGGTATACTAAAAAAACCAAAAAATAAGGTTTATCAAGATTCAAAAACTAATCTGGAAGGTCGCAGAAGGCAGCGAGCATCAAGTGAATCTGATAATTTATATTGTAACTATCACGTGGCATCTCCTATACCTGGATATGATAGGTAAATTTTATCATTCCAAACCTTATAATTGTCAATAAATACCAAATTGTTTTATTGACTTTCACGATTAGTTTCAGGCATCAATAATTATGCAAAATTCAGTTGAATATCTTATCTTTCTCCGACTAGTAATCTAGTTGGTCTTATGTATTCATTCATTTGACATTAAATTAAAATTGTTGGTATTGATTGTTCTTAAATGTGAATTGAAAATTTTAAATCTAATGCTGCTTGAAAATGTAAATAGTATATAACTTAAAGAATCCAAACAGGAATTTAAGTAGATTTGTTATTATAGTAATGTTCCACTTAAATTTGTTTTACAAACAGTTACAATGAATTAAAATGATGGATGCTGTTTTTATTTAAAGCTTAGGGCTGACATAGTGATGTTAGCAATCAATACAATTTGTAATTAAAATATGTAGCTGAAAAAAGCACTTACGACTCTTCATTGTTACATATTATACTAGTGACAATTACATTAAAGCAATTGCTTTTGTTCAATTCAATAATTTTGATGTCAGAAAATTAAAGATATTGTCATGTAAATAAATATGTTGAATTTATTACAGCCGCCTCGGGTACATTTCAAGCAATGTGAAACGGGCAAAAGACAATTCTGGAACTGGTTACTCTTATGGTACAACTGTAGCTAATGCGGGTCCTCGCTGCAAGAGTCCCACATACTCAAAGAACTTGAGGTGTAGCTGCAAAGATAACATGTCAAGAGATCATGTGCAAGTGTTGAGGACTACTGCTATTAACAGCGACACGGTTGACGTTCAGCCCATTATTGAATTGGTGAGATTTTAGTTTTTTAATTTCATTGTAGATGATTGTCAAGTTCCCACAGGTGGCGTTTTCTCATGTTGTTTCTTTTATGTTTTTTTAAATTAATTTACAATTTTTAAACAATCTCCTAAATGACATTTGACATTTGACTTGTATTTGACTTTTGCTACTGTCTAAAATAACTTAACCTGACTTACAAGAAACATACAGAACAAAAGAACACTAATCTAATAAACTGGAGCTTGCTATTTTCAATAAGCGAAGTATTGGTTGTGACTTATTATGAGTCAAGAGTATTTACTACCATTCTGCCCATGTCTGTCCCAAAGCAGTCATACATTGCAATTTTGAGAACATAACGCCTGTATTACAAAAATCATGTCTGAAGGTTAGCGTTGATATAAACTTTGCTAAGCTTCTGCTTAAGCTATGGTAAATTAATCAGTTTGTTTATTTGCACATTAACTATTTAAAAAAAACGGAAGTACTCTTAACTTTACATAATAAGTAAATGGTATAAAAATGTCATCAATATTCTGAAGTGATGACTAGGAATATGATCTGATAGGTATAATTTAGAATTTATTTTGTAAATTTTAGTTGATTCAGGGTTTTGTGTATTTTGTGAATGATTCTTACTCAAGAAATTGTCTTCATCTAAATCAGATTTTATATTAATAATAAATTTATACTGTGCATGTTGACTGATACTTGTATGTTTTCATAATGGTTCTTATCACAGAAAACAAAATTTAGATCAACATAGAGCAGCAAGCACTATATATAATAATATCAATCCTTCTGTCGGCTAAATAAGATTGAAATGAATTTTTTTTTTGCTAAAATGAAAAATTGTGATGATAATAGATAAAATGATGTGAGGAGTGTTCAGTCATCATGAGGGAAAAAGTATACACATTTGTCAGAACTTTGCACATTTATTTCATTGATCTCATTAAAACATTTCATACCTATTCTACTCTTCACCAAGCGTATTGCTTACATTATGATTTTAATGAACATGTATGCAATTGTGGTTTGTTTCTCTCTCTAACAATATCTTGCATTGTCACTTCAAAGAATCTGAATAAATTTAAAATCCTATTTTCAGCTGTACTCTAACAAATCACATCAACAATTCAAATATTTGAATAACTAAATATTACATGTAGACTGTAGTCTGCTGTTAAGCGATGGTTAGAATAACAATTTTGATTATAAATCAAACAAGAAAAATATAATTCTGAAATGTATCATTTACTGTACATGGTTTACTGTTTTCTAATACTATACGAGATGCTTATTATTATTAAAACTACTTTAATCTACTTTACTATATAATTTACAGTTTAATCTCGCGTTTTGTTGGTTGATTTTATAATTTTTAACATTTTGAATATATTTTAACTTTTTTGATCACCATTCATTAAATTGTTTTTTTTTGGGTAATAAGCCATGTGTGGATTCGTTGACATCTTTGAATTGTGCATAACGTAGTCCAATCTATTTAGTTATAAGAATACAAATTGTTTCTATGCGTCCGACCTAGGCAACGAGGTAACGCAGTCTTGTCGGATCCCCCGATCCACTTTTGGTTCCTTTAGATCTCTCAAGCACTGGTTACCGTCCTCTTCGAATTCCCACATAGACACAGTCCACTGAGTTTCGCGCCGGATCTTCTCAGTGGGTCGTGATTCCGATCCGGCGGTAGACTCTGCGAAGAACTGCTCTTCCTAGGGCCAGTGCTAGCAACACTTACGGTTTGAGCCCCGTGAGCTCAACTACAAATTACGGCATAGTTGGAATAGCCTTTTAGGTTACCAGCGAATAGGTAGGGAAAAAAAAACACTGCTTGCTAGGGTTATGCTCTTGCTAGGGTCAGTGTTAGAAAAATTGTGATTCGAAATGTGAAATGTGATTCGATAGTGCTGCTAAAGAGATGCTAGGAGAGGACCTAGGACTTAATCCTATGGCACTAAATTCCTCTTACGTCAGAGATAGAAGTCTAAACGTCGGGCGTGTATTTAATTTTTGAAACATGTGCGAAATTGTCCGTTGTTAGTATTTTTTGCTTTCTTCAGACTTGCATGATGGAGCTTACTTTTGGAATTTTCAAACTATAATGTAAATGTCCATGAAAAACTGCTGTCTTATGACATGTATATACAATGTATTTGTATGTATCAAAGTGTCGTTTAAAGGATAAAGCGTTGCATTATTACTGGTGGTAGGGCGTATTTTATATATACACTACCCACTGGTAGATGTCACCAAGCTGCCTATTTCTGCCGTGAAGTGGCTATGCATTCCGTTTTTAAGGTAAAGATAATCCTTATCACACAATTAGGACTTCGACCTCTTATCTCATGGAGGCATGGTGGTAGGACCTCTTGTGAGACCGCGCGGGTAGGTACCACCACCCCGCCTATTTATGCCGTGAAGCAGTAATGCGTTTCGGCTTGAAGGGTGGGGCAGCCGTTGTAACTATACTGAAACCTTAGATCTTATATCTCAAGGTGGGTGGCACATTTACGTCGTAGATTTCTATGGGCTCCAGTAACCACTTAACACCAGATGGGCTGTGAGCTCGTCAACCCATCTAAGCGTGTTTGTGTTTTATCTATGGGTTCCGGTAACAATTTGTCAAGTGGCCCGTTCGCTCATTCACCCGTCAATGCGATAATAACATTTAAAAAAATAATAAACAATTATTGATTAATCCGCAGTTTAGATTAAAATCGTAATGCATCTAATTAACTTCTGACTAACGGGGATTCGCGTGCACAAAGTTGTTTGGTTCAGAACTGAAGTTTCATAACTAAGCTAACTGGGTCAAACGATGTCTGAATTTATGTTTTGTATTCGTAATTATTCAACAGGAAGCTTGCATTTGCGATAAATTAATAAATTTTGTTTATTTTAAAAGATATATTTATATTTATTATAAAACTAGCTGACCCGGCAGACTTCGTAATGCCTCAATCGATAAATAAAAGACCTAAGCTTTTGTATAAAATAAACTTAAAACAAACAAAAGGAATCCGTCCGACGGGTGACACATCTAAGGAGAAACAAAATTGTTATTTTTATTTCATTCCGAGCATTCTCATATTTATCCACCTTTTAAACCTTCTCTGGACTTCTACAAATAATTCAAGACCAAAATTAGCCAAATCGGTCCAGCCGTTCCCGAGTTTTAGCGAGACTAACGAACAGCAATTCATTTTTATAGATTAAATACTAAATACTATTTACGCATAAAACGAATTCTTTTCCAATTAAGTTCTATATTGTGTTCTGTTTATTTTAGGAAACGTGGTGTGTTATGTAATAAAATTGTTTTTTTCCTTTTATATTTTCGCAAAGCGATAAATCTATTTATTGATCAAGCCACGATATAAAAACATAGATCAGAAATTCATCGTAAAGATACTTATAATATTCGCTTGTTTGGAGCGCGGCGTCAGCTAGTTGACGAAGATTTAATCGCCCGACAAAATTGTAATGTTTTAAAAACACGTAACAATTTGTAGGCGCACAATAATAATTAAATTATAAATCGCGGAAGCCGTGGAATTTTTCACTAGATATTTTCGGGTTTCGCTAAGAGGTGACGATGATTTTATTACGGTACCGTGACGTGTACAATAGTTGAGGCGTTATGCAAAAGTGAACAATGAATGTGTGTCCGTTTACTTAATAACACATGTGCTCGGTGCACTACTAGATCACACCAGACAGTTAGACGCTAGCGACGGAACGAAAAAGTTGTCAGCGCTAACGTAATGTCGTAAATATTACAAAAAAAACATTGGATAAAAATGGGAATCATTAAGCAGTTATTCAAGAAATTTTATGAAAATGTAAGTATAAAAAAATGCCCTCGATATTTATTACTTTAATACTGTTCAATAACACTTATTGAATACACATGTTGTTTTTATTTTTTTTATTCTGATTTATGTTATCATTAATCTTACGATAACACACTTTTGTTTGTTTACGTGTGAAAAAAAAATTTGAAAAATATTAAATTTGTGTATTTATGGAGCGTGTGCATGACCTAGTTTACAAATATAAAGAAAACGTTATCTTTGATAAGTTTTAACTTTATTGTTTTGAAATATTCAAGTAGCTAGAGTGATTCTCAACCACTGTTCCGCGGCACTTTTGTGTGCCGCCAAATTTTGCGAATATATAATAATGTTAATATTATTAAATTATATCATTATAAAAGAAAAATATTTTAAACATTAATATATAATAATATTTAAATCCACAAAAAAAAATTATAGTATATTTTAGTTTATTTCGTATATTAAAATTTTTTGATAAACTATTTATGCAGTGTGTTGTAGTAAGTAAATAATTTTTATCTTTTTTTTTGTGTGCCGCCAAAGATTGAAATCGTTAAATATGTGCCGCAACAAAAAAAAGGTTGAGAATCACTGAACTAGACACACTAAGCAGCTGTTACCATAATCGTTGCGCGCTAATGTGTAGATCAATTCAAAATTCGTCATCAAATAGCGAAGGTCGTGCTGGTCTACGACCCTACATAAATCCTCACTACTAAATATAATTTGTAGGATGTGTAGGAACTGAATTTTTTTCCACTATGTTCAACGCTCTTTACTGATGGTATAACCTCTTGTGAGTCCGTGCGGGTAGGTACCACCGCACCACCGCCCTGTCTATTTCTGCCGTGAAGCAGTAATGCGTTTCGGTTTAAAGGGTAGGGCAGCCGTTGTAACTATACTGAGATATTAGAACTTATATCTCAAGGTGGGTTACGCATTTACGTTGTAGATGTCTATGAGCTCCAGAAACCACTTAACATCAGTTGGGCTGTGAGCTCGTCCGCCCACTTGAGCAATTAAAAAAAAAAACTTGTTGTTCAGGGTAGGGCCAATGGTAAGAGATCTTGAGAACGAATCCCCATACGCTGGACTGATCAGATGAAAGGCCTCACTGAAACCCCACCTAATGAGTGCGTGCGCCAAGCCTTAGTTCGCAAACTATAGAAAACCTCTGTCAAAAATAATAAACAAGAATTCCACATGACCACTACTGCTCTGCCAAGAGCAACCGACTATGATGATGGCTCTCATTACCGTATAGTTGTAAGCGAATACTACTTCATCCCATATCATCTCATCTCATTTCATTTAATTTCATCCCAGTTGATTAATGTCTCAAATTAATCATCTTCATTTCATTTCATTATTTTTCATAAAAATAAGAATATAAATTAAAATAAGACGTGACTTAAAGGTTTTAGTTACCAGATCATAAAATCCCTTAAAAAAAAATCAATGAATTGAAGAATTCGCGTAAAAACAAGAACCTCGCTACTATACCTAGATAGTTACGTGCAGTATTTATCCAGCTTGAACTTTGGCAATTTAGTATTTTGTTGACTCAAATTTAATTCCTGAGAGTTATGTGAATAAAGTAACCATCAAATTTTTTTTTACGCACCTAATCCCTGGTAGGTGAGCTCATGGACTCAACCTGAGAGAATTTGCTAACACTGGCCCAACTAAGAGCAGTGCTTCGCTGATTGTACCGCAGGAGCGGAATCGCGATCCACCAGATCCAGCGAGAAACTTAGTGGTTTGTGCCTCTATGGTCCAGTTCGCATGGCAAATGGATATTGAGTTTATGTTCCTCTAAATCGAGTTTGTATGTAATGGTGTTAAAATAAAAAATAAAAACTTATATTATCCTCAAAGAGTACAAACAAAAACGTCATCGTAAATTCTCAACTCATTTATACATTTTTAAAAAGAAATGACACGAATAAATCAAGATCAGAATGACGACTTTATTATATCACTGGAAATTAATATTAGTCATCTAACGCACACTATGAGTCGTCTCGCAATAAATTATTTTAAAGAAAATTTCATTCTGAATTCAAAACAATAGAGCCGATTTTCGGAAATCTCAATTTTCATATATATTTTTTTAATTTGAGCTTGAGTTTTACATAAGTGCCAGTAACGAACGTGGGCGTGTGATACTAGCGGTTACTGGTTACATCTCGTATGAAGACATCATAGTACGTTTAATTTCGTGTACTTTAGTTTTTATTGTACCAACGGTTCAAAAGTTTTGGCTTAATGCCAGTAAAGCAAATGTCAATACAATGCATTATCACTGTAACGCGCGCGCCGATTTGTTCTTGTACCTATTAATTGTTTTGAAATTAAAATCTCATAATATTCCTATACTGTTTCTCCTTAATATGGATGTGTTTGTTAAAAGGTGCTGTGGATTTTTTAGTTTGCAAAGTGATTTTGGAAAAAATATATATTTCCGAATAGTGTTACTATAAAATGTTTTTTACGGATCTATATTTGATTAAAAAAAATAATAAAAAAAATTAAATAAGAATTAATTAGTAAAGCTTATGGCTTATCCATATTATAAACAGATTTAGAATATAGTGAACATTGCAATATAAAAAAAAAAAATTTTTTTTCTTCACTTTAAAAACACGTTCCTGAAACATCACGAAACTTGACCTATAAGTTTACCCTTGACACGTTTAGTGTAATTTAAAAAAGATACAAGTGTGGGGGAAGAAGCCAGAGGCGCGCATACCGCAATGGCTGCCAACTCTCAGGACACTCCAGCTAAAATTCACCGGTAAATTACTCTGTACCACGTGAATAACATATATTTCTGTCGACCCATTTACATGAGCGCTATCGGATTCCTTATTGCCGTTATTTCGGTCTCACCTGTCACGTGTGTAAATCGTGAAATGAATAAATATCTATAATTTTTTTTTAAATCAAATTTTCCGTGACTTAACCATATATCGTACGGGTTTCCATACATAGACTTGTGTCGTCGCGTGTTGTCTAATGTCCACTCGTCTGACATTGTAACTGTAAGTGTTGTCCACGTTTTGAAGCCGTAAGTCGATAATGTGCTTAGAGGAAAAATTCCGTTGTTTTTTCCGTAAAAATTGGATGTCACGTGTTGTTATTGCGATTTTTAAAGGGCTACATAAACACGTGGGCCGTCTACCTGTTGACGCATTAGATGTTTTCGTAAGCTATGCTCTCGAAAAGAAAACACTCCGAAATTATCTGACTAATAGTAATTGAAGGCATCAGTGACGGAAGAGCTTAAGTACCATTTTTAAGGTTTTTGAGTTTTTACATTGAAGGAAGGTATTATGTGCCTGTAAGCCATATTAAACCTTAAAACTCTGGCTTTAAAGGCTATTTTTAGAAATTGCACGTGATGAAGGATTTTTGTACGGAAAAAAGTACAAGTAATAAAAGTTTTGTAGGTATACGACAAAGGGAAGATCCTCCACCGAGCGGGTAATATTGCTCGGTAGACCGTTGTATATATGCAAGCTTATCTTGAGAATGTCGTAAGCGAGATTCAGGCATCTATCAGATATCTTGTGTTCTGTGATGGCTACCGCCAAAGTTTGTTGCCCGTTTTCTCAAAGTCAAAAAATTGTATCATATCCCCTACATCCACTCATGTCTTCAATTGTATGTCTATTAATTCTGATGTCTATTGATTTGTGTGTTTTGTCTCCAGCCCGGCCAAGACACGCCGACCCCGACTTGCCCGACGGTGAGCCCAGCCTTGCCCGTCAGCTCAGTCACGGCGATACCAGTTAAAAAATCTATAAAGACAGTCAAGAAGAAAGTTAAAGCTAAAATTAAAGTGCCCAAGATGAAATCGAACACTAAAGTCGAATGTGCCGTTATCGGAGGGGAGATGGAAGAGTGAGTGATCTCTTTTGTAATTAGTCTCTTTTTTTTTATTGCTTAGTTGGGTGGACGAGCTGACAGCCCACCTGGTGTTAAGTGGTTACTGGAGCCCATATCTATAACGTAAATGCGCCACCCTCCTCGAGATATAAGTTCTAAGGTCTCAGTATAGTTACAACGGCTGCCCCACCCTTCAAATCGAAACGCATTACTGGTTCACAGCAGAAATAGGCAGGGTGGTGGTACCTACCCGTGCGGACTCACAAGAGGTCCTACCAACAGTAAAAACAGACAAGTATTTCCTAGTCCCTATGTACATTGATATAAGGGCGATTCCAACTTTGAAACGTAAACGACCGATTAATTCACGGTAAAAATATAATGGATATTAAATTCCTTACTGCCGTTAAAACCCACAACATATTAACACAGGTCTACTGTTGATAGTAAATGATAATAGTAAGAGTTAGATAGAAGCGTAGGATGAAGTAGGATGTGATTTGATGTCAGCAGCAATCGCTTTTAAGAGGCTGAAATAAATTCCCGTGTCCTTTTAAACGATAATATTTTTTTCGGTTTGTTTTTGCAAGTCGTAGAATAAATTAAAGCTACTTTTACGGCTCAATCTGGCGTTTTTTAAATCTCATAATATTATTTCCGACTTATCGATACTTTACGGTTTTCGTGTTCACGGACGATATTCCTATATGGTGTTGTCTGTTTATGACACGATGAAAGATTCACCACGGTCACCGGTAATATGAAGTTCAAACAAAACCGGAAACGTACGTCATTGAGCTATAAAATTTTATTCTAAAACTATTCCAGCATGTTATGAGCCGTTTATATTAGTATTTAAATGCTGGCGCATTACGTATTCGGCTTCTGCTGTCATACTATTAATACCAAAGCAGGGTTGACGTCAAGCAGACCGCCGGTATAATTCCAAATCCCTAAACAGCAATGATAAGAGAACACGCTGAACCAACCCTAAGTAAAGTGGCATAAGGGCAAGAACAAGAAGATAACTTTAATATTTTGTTGCCGTAGTAAACAAAATTCGTGCTTTCGGCAAACAATAATGTTGCACCAATTATGTACTGATACGGAGTGATTAATTAGTTTATTGTTGACGTTTGCTTAAAGCCTTGGATCATCACAGATTGTATCCGTGGTTTGTGTCATTTACAAAAATGTTAATGCGCAATTAGTAAAATGAATACGAGGACGATGGATATGAAAAAGATTGTGTGAAAGAGGATATGCGAGTCAAGGGTTTGCCGAAGGACCGGCGTTGTGCAGTTTATCTACAGCTCACTGCCATTTCGATAAAGCGGCACGACACGAGAACCCTCTCATCGTGGCCGCCGGTAACTACATTCCCGATCCTGCGGGCAGAATGGAAAGCAGTCGACGTCGCCCAAAACACGTCATTTCTAATCCTCCCGATCCACTAATGGTGCTTTTAGGTACCTCAAGCACCGGTCATCGTTCTCGTCGCACCCGTCGCTTGCGACGAAGGGCTCGACGAGTAAATTAACCCACTTTAAAGCTATTTTACCGACAGACTAACATACTACGTATTTATAAATTCGTGACACCTTTACATACTTTTAAGCAAAGTTTTGTGAAGGAATAGCTACATTTATTAAATTTTACATGTCGGCGCAATTTTGAGTTTCTGGCCGGATCTTCTCAGTGGGTCGCGTTTTCGATCCGGTGGTAGATTCTGCGAAGCACGGCTCTTGCTAGGATTCATGTTAGCAGCATCGTCAGGTTTGAGACCGTGAGCTCACCTACTAGTTAAGGTTACGCTGAATTAGCATAAGTAGGAAAAAAAAGCTCACTGAGTTTCTCGCTGGATCTTCTTAGTGGGTCGCGTTTCCGATATGGTAGTAGATTCAGCGAAGCACTGCGCTTGCTAGGACAGATGCTAGCGAAATCTCCAAGGCTGAGCCCCGTGTGCTCGCTTACTCGTTCAGTGAAATTAGTTTAACCTCGGGAGGCTACTAGCAGTGGCAAAAAAAGAAAATTACAATTCAAACTTCATGTTCGGAAGACGAACGACGCGGCGACGTGAATCATACGGTAGTGACAAAAAAATGTCCGTTTAACGAACTGGCGTCTGCCATTCATCAATTATCCATTTCTTTCGCGAAACAGTCATGCGTTCCGGTTTGGGCGGGAAAACCGTTACAGAGTATAATTGATACTTATGTACCTCATGTCTTGGGGCGGCTGGCCATTCACGCTGACATCTATGAGCTCAGGCCATAGCCGTGGCCTGTTATTCTGGCCATAGCTTTAGAAATCGGCATACGCATCAACAAATATATGAATAGCACCATAAAAATGCTGCTTTAGTTGAACGTTTGGGAATTAGCTTAGCGAATAATATACAATTCCATCAACAGTGCACTCAGTCGATCGCCCTCCCCCGACATAGAAGTGTGGCATATGGACACAGACCCGATACCTATAGAGATAGGTGATATAGAAAAAGTCGTACTGAACAAGAATGAGTCACTCGAAGAGATCTCAGTCAACAAACTGTCCACAAAGCTAAACGGAACTGTCGTTACTCCTAAGAAAAATCCATCAAAAGGTAAGCTTTTTTTTAATTTTTTAATTGCTTAGATGGGTGGACGAGCTCACAGCCCACCTGGTGTTAAGTGGTTATTGGAGCCCATAGACATCTACAAAGTAAATGCGCCACCCACCTTGAGATAAAAGTCTCAGTATAGTTACAACGGCTGCCCCACCCTTCAAACCGAAACGCATTACTGCATCATGACAGAAATAGTGGTGGTACCTACCCGCGCGGACTCACAAAAGGTCCTAACCACCAGTAAATTGATATATATCTTCGTCTTAGCTTCGACTGTGTATTTGTTTGTGTCCCAGCAACAGCTTAAATCTCACTATCCAACTGTAATAAGTAAAACCTGGTGTCTTAACAAATCGTTGAATATCATTGAATTAATCTTGGTTACATCGTTTCAAAAATAAAACGTACTAGCCTGCTTAGCGTGCCAACGAGCAGTGATAAAGTATACATTCATAAACTAGTAACAATTTAATGCACCGAAAAACGTTAAATTGAAAACGTTCCAATGGAAAATGTAATGCAAACGAAATCTTTAAATCCACGATAAATTATTGAATGCGTCACGAACGCGCAGCGAGCGACACAGCACAACCTACGTTCGATTTTAAATATTCGTATTTTTATTTTTTATTTTTTATTGCTTAGATGGGTGGACGAGCTCACAGCCCACCTGGTGCTAAGTGGTTACCGGAGCCCATAGACACCCACAACGTAAATGCGCCACCCACCTTGAAAAACTTTCGTATGTATTAAATACAATTTTGTTGAAACCGTTTACTACGCATTACAGAGAGGATGAGCAAGGAGCAAAGGTTTCTGACTGCTTTGCATACGACAAATCCGTTTAAAACGATACCGTCACGCAAAGGTTAACCGCCCTAACTCGTATTTAACATTATTTACGTAGTCACTAATAAGCATTATAAATGTTGAATTTTCTATAAATTTCATTTGTCGTCGTTATTAAAAAATATTTTCGTTTTGAGACAGACATCTCTAGTTTTTTATCACATTTTCGAATTTTGCTAAGTCGTAGTGTTTGTAATTTTTTTTATATACGTATGAAGCTTGTAATTCGTTACGTGAATAGTATTGATTGTTTGTTAAAAAATATAGTTGTATGTTGTATAGTTTTATTTTAGTTTATTATATTGTTGTGCTGTGAAGTACTATGTGATGCTCTTAATCATTTTAATTAATTTGATTACTTGATATTCCCATGCACTTGTGTTACATAAATTGTTTTCATCTATCAAATTTCCCTTATATTGGTTACTATAATGTGAATTGAGAATTTTAGTAAGGAATTATTTAAAAAACATTCGAATGTTCTTATACTCATTCACACTTCTTTAACTGTCACCCTAGTGTAAACATTCATTTAAAAACAAAACTCTTTTAAGTGCAGTGACTATTATTATTATTATTTTTTATAGCCCTTGTAGGCAGACGAGGATACGGCCCACCTGATTGGTGAGTGGTTACCGTCGCCCATGGACTTCAGCAATGCCAATGCAGAGCCAAGCCGCTGCCTACCGCTATTCGCATCCATATTAATTATAACATAATTAATGTTTACAGAATTGCCATTAATCATCCCAGAATCGATCTCAAGCTGTCTCCGACCGTCTCTCTTCCCTCGAGTCCCGCCATATCTGCGATTCATCGGACACGAAGACTGCACTCCGCTGAAGGTTCCAGCTCCCATACAGAAGCATCTGAAATGGAAGCTCACCACGATAACGCCTTTAGTTGTGAAGAAAACTTTGACTAATTCTGGCTTTAGATTGGTTAAGAGCGAATGTGACACGTCAGAGTGTCCGCAAGAAGGTACGTCTTCTATTTGTTAGCGTTTTAAGTTATAAAATTTTCATTTTAAATGTAGGCTTCGAAATGATGAAAAAACAAACATTACACAAAAACAAATATAAAATAATAATAAAACACTATCTGCGACATTGGCCGGTCTTTGATCTCACTTCGATCTGATCTCTGACAAACTTCATAGGACCATTCGCTTGCCCAATCTGAAGATTAACTTAAGATTTCATTGAAATCGGTTCAGCCGTTTTGAAGTCCATAGGGAATATATAAATTATTTCTAGGAAAGATAAATAACCTAGATACCGACTGTAGCGCCATCTGCCGGGCTGATTTGTGAGTCTAAACCATCCAGGGTGCCACCCAAACGCATACAAAAAAATCATTCAAATCAGTCCAGCCGTTTAGGAGTTTAGTGACAAACACACGCACAGAAGAAATATATACATAAAGATTGATACATACACATTATCGGCTATATATACATATTTGTATGTTAATAGAATTAACGTAACAATTTCAGAGACCGTAGAGTGGATAGGCATATGGGGCAAACATATGAAGTCAATAATGTTCAGAGCCATAAAAGATGGACAGAAGATGAATCATTTCCCTGGTACCTTCCAAATCGGCAGGAAGGATCGATTGTGGAGGAACCTTCACAAACTTTGCACTAAGTATGGAGTCAAAGAATTTGGTATTATGCCGAAAACTTACGTACTGCCACATGATCTCAAAATGTTGAAGCATGACTGGGAAAAGTATGCTGCTAACAATGAAAGGTGGATCATTAAACCTGTAAGTTGGCTTTGTACAAAAATAGTGTACGGGAAGTAGAAAAGCTATTTATTAAAGATTATAATATCTTATATGTGTTCTTTTTTTTTTAGCCTGCATCAGCCCGAGGCACCGGCATCAAGGTGGTGTCCCGCTGGACGCAGATCCCGAAGAAGAGGCCGGTCGTCGTCCAGCGCTACGTCTCTAAACCGTATCTAATTAACGGAAGCAAGTTCGACATGAGGCTGTACGTGCTCGTCACGTCGGTGCACCCGCTCAGGATATATCTGTACAAAGACGGCCTTGCCAGGTTCGCGTCGGGTAAGCCTAAAAAACAATTACATTATTTATTTATTTAGTTTTTTCGACCTAAGCTGATGGTCTTGAGAGACCATATCAGCGTCACCGGGCGAGTAGGTGAGCTCACGGGGCTCAAACCTGATGTTGTTACTAACACGAACTCTAGCAAGAGCCGCACTTCAAATCTACCATCGGATTATATCACCTATTACTTAATTAGCTTGAGTGATAAGGAAAATGATCGTAATCAATATTATATTATTATGACCTAAACACGTCATTTCGGTCATTTCGGATCCTCCTGATCCACTAACGGTTCTAAGTACCCCAAGCACTGGCTGCTGCTCTCGTCGAACCCGTCGCTTGCGACGAAGGGCTCGGCGAGTAAATTAACCCATAGGCACAGTCCACTGAGTTTCTCGCCGGATCTTCTCAGTGGGTCGCGATTCCGATCCGGTGGTAGATTTTGCGAACGCTGCTCTTGCTATGGCCAGTGTTAGCAACGTCGTCAGGTTTGAGCCTCGTGCGCACACCTACTTGTTAGGTTACGATGACATAGCCTGACAAGGCTATCAGCTTAGGTAGGGAAAAATATATTAAGATTTAAAATTATTAATAAATATAATAACATAATTATTGAATTATATTTATTCCGCTTTCAGTAAAGTACAACGATGAGTTGACATCTCTGAACGATAGGTACATGCATTTGACTAATTACTCAATAAACAGGCTGTCCAAGAATTACACGCCAAACGAAGATTTCGCTTCTTGCGAGGGACACAAATGGTAAGTGTTTATAGTTTTACATACAGTTTTCTTGAAAATGGCGCGGAAACCTCCAAAATAATTTAGTTAAACGCTACTTAATGAAGTGCGTGTGACGTCATTCGGGGATAAAATAAAGTGACAAGTTAATCAGAGAGCATATATATTAAAACTACTGAACTATTTGGTAATTGACAATATATCGATCAAACAGTTAGATTTCAGTTAGAAATCATACTTTGGCTTGAATAGTAGGACAGGCGATATACAAAATGATTTATCCAGTTTATGTCTCGAGGTATGAAAAACCACTTAACATTAGGTGGGTTGTAAAGTCGTCAGGCCATAAAGTGCATTTTTTTTATGTATCAAATTTTATATTCCACGTGATAATGTATTTTTTAGGACATTACAAACTCTATTCCAATACTTAAAGACTGAAAAGGACGTTGACACGGAAGCCCTGTGGGATTCCATGAAGGATCTCGTTATTAAAACCATAATATCGGGCGAGGCGAGCATCAGTTCGCTGACTAAAGCCAACATAACGTCGCGGTACAACTGCTACGAACTGTTCGGGATCGATGTTCTGCTGGACGAAGATCTCAAGCCCTGGCTCTTGGAGGTAACCTCGCACCCGCATACTATTGCTCAATATATCTACAGTAGGCGCGCGAGTTCATGTCCATCCTGAGGAATGCGGTAGTGCTGTGACCTAGTTAAATATGGTAATGTCGATAATAACTACCGATTTAGTCAATAGCATTCAATTTGGTTTAATGTAACTTAAGTTTGCAAATTATGAAATAAAATAAATGTGATAAGTATTTTATTTATTTATTTCTAATAGAGAAAAATTATATTTAAATTTAAATTATTTTTTTAAATTCCAATTCAATCACTATCAAATGAAAAGACAACCGACAGATCAGAGTCGGAATCAGTATGTATCTTTTTTCAGTAGGTTTTTTTCTACCTGAACTTGTTGGAAGCGGAGTAGTCATGGTTAAATAAAACAATAGCGTTAGCGTAAATTTTCGATATCGATAAGCGCGCGTCACAACCGTCAAGGACAACACTCGACGTCAGACAAGTGCGGGGAGGCGGACAAAGGCGGGGCGAGCTGTCCCCCGCGCGTCGCCTCTGGCCCCGATGGACATGAACTCGCGTGTATACTGTATTTATTTTGTTTGCATTTAGTACTACAAAACTGAAGCATAGAACACGTGTCTCGAAGTGGGTGGCGGGTCTAGTAACACCAGTTTTTTACTGGTGGTAGGACCTCTTGTGAGTCCGCGCGAGTAGGTACCACCACCCTGCCTATTTCTGCCGTGAAGCAGTAATGCGTTTCGGTTTGAAGGGTGGGGCAGCCGTTGTAACTATATTGAGACCTTAGAACTTATATCTCAAGGTGGGTGGCGCATTTACCTTGTAGATGTCTATGGGCTCCAGCAACCACTTAACACCAGGTGGGCTGTGAGCTCATCCACCCATCTATGGAATAAAAAATAAAAATAAAGTCCCATGCATGCTGTCCCTTTCTCCGTCCATTTAACTTTATCTACCGGGTGCGGTTGCAGGTGAACATCTCGCCGAGCCTGCACAGCGCGTCGCCGCTCGACATCCACGTGAAGGGGCCCCTGGTCTCCACGGTGCTCAACATCGCGCAGTTCCAAGTGCCCAACAAAACCAACTTGGAAATGTTGGTTAAGGATAAACCACACCAATTGGTAAATATTCAGATTTACATCAGTCACTCATGTTATATAGTCTATCATTATCCAATTCCAAAACTACATTAAATACTAATAGTATACTAGGTATGAGCGTTACGATATTTAATAAACTACCAAATAAATTAAGAGACCTAGACTATTTTCATTTTAAGAAAAAACTAAAACATAATCTTATTAGTGAAAATCATTATCACATAAATGATTTTCTTAGGGACGACATTGAATTTATGAATTTTTTAATTATTAGTTGAATTATGGATGAAGGAATGGTAAATTATATAAGATCATAATATCTTGCACTGCACTAAAATTCGCATGTCAAATAATGACAAAGCATACACGCTGCTTAAAACTTCCGTAATACATTTACACTATGCTTATCGAATTCATGATTTCTTTCTTTCTTTTTTTCGTTCTTTATTTTTGGTTATCGACATTCTTTGACAAAAATTGGAAAACTTTTTAGTTGGTAGATATGTCCATTGTAGAGAATGAGAAATCCATATGAATTAGATTGCGTATAAAAATTATTTTAAGGTTTCGTAATTTCGAACAATTAATTATGTCATGTAGCATTAGAACTCAATGTAGTTCTTAATTTTATTCTCGCCGGTGCACTGATAAACGTAATTCATCTTAATTCTCAGGCTGGACTACCATACGATGGCAGATTATACACGGTGTATTTATCCAAAGAGGAAAGAGACAAGCATATAATCTATACTAATATGGATGACAGAGAATTGGTAAGTTTACTTATGCAACAAAAGAATATTTTTCCTAATAGTTTTTAAATAAGTATTTATATTTATAATTTTAATTATAAAATTTTTCCAAATTCGGAACCACTACTATTATTTTTAGTAATGTGTCTACATTATAGCGTTTAACGAACACCGGTATAACCTTAGATAAATTGTAATGTAAATTATGTTATAATTTTTGTTCTGTTTTCCTTAGATTTCTAGCTTAATTTTAAGCTTGAGTTTATTCACATGACTATAATCACCTATGAATAAATAGATGCTTTTAATATCATAATCTTCTATATCGCTTCCTCATTGATGACCATATGTGACTTTCTCCAGTGTTCGATCATGGGTGGCGTGGACCACATGGTATCCCTTACTAGATCTGACCATTTGGTGTTCTGCTCACAGCGCGCTTGACTTCTATGCGACCCCGAATTATGAGCTCTAATTCATGTCTGAGAGACCGCATGATGTGTCCGAAGAAGCTCAAAACACGTTCCAGGCTGATAGAACAGAGCTTTTTTCGGATATTTATAATAATAATAAAGCCTTTTATTTTCCATAACCTAAGTATTACAATTTACATGTAAATATTCTTAAATATATATGATTTTTACATTTTGATCTTTTCAATTTTCTTTGTTCTTAGATCCATTTTTTTTCAGCAGTGATTATGATATCATCAGTCCATCGTTTCATAGGTCACCTTTCCTTATTTTCGTGCTACGTCGCCAGCCCATCGCTACTGTAATCTTTTACTGAAGCTTAGGACGTCAATTAGTTTTTTTTTTTTTTTTCGTATAAATTCACTTCTTACTTTGTCTTTTCTTCTTATTTTTAGAATGTTTCTTTCGGATGTTTAGCTCCGTTAGAATGGACTCATAAGGGAGTTTTTTTTATTTTTCTTTATTGCCCGAGCAGGCAGACGAGCATACGGCCCACCTGATGGTAAGTGGCCACCGTCGCTCATGGACGTCAGAAATGCTAGGGGCAGAGCCAAGCCGCTGCCTACCTCCTAGTTTATCCACCCCGTCCCCGTTGCTCGGTCCTGGTTGTGTAGCGAGCCGGCCGTTGCTTGCAGTATCTGCGCGACATCCTGTCGACGCTGACGCCGGACGACGTGCGGCACCTGGTGCAGGCGGAGGACGAGCTGACGCAGGGCGGCGCCATGGAGCGCGTGTTCCCGACGCGCGACACGCACCGCTACCTGCCCTACCTCGCCGGCCCGCGATACTACAACAGACTCTTCGACGCCTGGGAGACCAGATACGGACACAACAGGACCGCTGGTGAAAAACCCTACATACCCTTTTTTTTTATAGTTTAGGTGGATGGGCGAGCTCACAGCCCACCTGATGTTAAGTGGTTACTGAAGCCCATAGACATCTACAACGTAAATGCGCCACCCACCTTGAGATAAGTTCTAAGGTCTCAGTATAGTTACAACGGCTGCCCCACCCTTCAAACCGAAATGCAGTACTACTTCACAGCAGAAATAGGCACAGTGGTGGTACCTACCCGCGCGGACTCGCAAGAGGTCTTAACACTCCACTCCACTTAACACCAGGTGGGCTGTCAGCTCGTCTACCCATCTAATAAAAAAAAAATGTTTTGTGATGTAATATCTACTAGCGACCTGCCCTCGCTTCGCTTCGGATACTATAATTTATTATTGATTTTTCCACTATTTAATGGATGTTATTATACATATAAACTTTCCCCTTCAATCACTCTATCTATTTAAAAAAACCGCATCAAAATCCGTTATGTAGTTTGAAAGATTTAAGCATACATAGGAATATAGGGACAGAGAAGGCGACTTTGTTTTATACTATGTAGTGATAATGCGGTTATAAGAGGCATGATGACTAATTTTCAAAATCTATTCTATAATATTCCGAAGTATAAATTATATCAAAAATATATCATATTTCTGTAGAAAATAAAGGTTTTCATGCAATAAAATGAAATTTATATTTTCTATTTCGCGCTAAAACAGGAGGCATCTAAAATTCTGGAATGTACGTTGCTTAAAATTACAGAGAGCCCGTGATCTTACATTGGAGTTCCCAAAAGCTGTTGTAGAAAAACATACTAATATTCTTGCTAACAAGATACTCATGTGTCTAAAGAAAATTAGATTAAATAACCCATTTAGAGAGCTTGCTGATGGATTTTGTGGAACTTCTGTTGTGAAAATGGTAAACTACGATTATAAATTGTATTTTAGCGACAGGTAAAGCGAAAACAATAGTTTTTTTTGTTAAAATTGCAGTGATCGCGCGTAAGCTCAAACGAGATGACGTTTACTAAGGCGTGACGTAATTCGCTCTGATTGGTGTTTAAGCTATCATGGCTGATTGTTGTATTTTGTAGATTTATTTTAACAAATCTATATCTATACTAATAATATTATAAAGAGGAAAGATTTGTTTGTTTGTTTGTTTCGAATAGGCTCCGAAACTACTGGACCGATTTGAAAAATTCTTTTTCCATTAGAAGCCGACATTGTACCTGATGAACATAGGCTACTTTTTTTATTTTTTTTTTTATTTTTTTTTTTGGTTTCATGTGTGTTTTAATGTTTCCGAAGCGAAGCGAGGGCGGGTCGCTAGTAAATCATAAATCTCGTCATTCATATGAAAATAAATACATTTTTCAAAATCCTTGAATCCTGTTTCATTAGATCAGTTAAATATTTTGGCGATACTTGAGTACTGTCATCATGCCTATTGTTTGGTTGCAGGCATCGAGCTGCTGTGCAACCTGTGCGACATCGGGTACCACCTGGAGGTGCCGCCCGTCCCGCTAAAGGTAACAGTGAGCTCGAGGTTCGGTTCTGTGCGCGTTCGCATCGAGCGCTGGGTGCACGCGGTCTTGGCTTTCGTCTCGCTCCTGCTCGCGCTGTGGCCCCGGTAGGGGGAGGGGGAGAGCTGTCGTAACTGCATCAACAACGAACGTACTATTGTTCGGTACATACATATTGCATAAAGGCTCGACCAGAGCACTCGGACCTTTGAGTTAGTTCCTAGCGATCTAGAAAAAAACTGAAAATAACAGTACATTCTAGAACCGACTGGTATCGTAAAATGGGAGGAATCGGGACACTTTTTAAGTTCGACATTGATTTTTATCGTTTTCTTATAGGTCCGGTAGTTTAAATTTTCATTTACAGTGCATTAAGGTATAGTTTATTAAAAAATTACCATCAAAAGTTACAAAAACTCATTTGTCCCTATTCACCCAGGCGTTGGGTGAATCGGGTCTCTTAAGTGGACAATAGTTTTTCGATAGAGCACTATTTAGTTATTAGGTAGGTACCTAACTTTAGGTAAATTTACTTTTTAATATCTTTAATAAGTTACAAAACTTTGATGACTAAATTAAACTATTTAATATTCTTAAACACTAAATAAAAGTTCACTTCCAAATTTAAATCTAACAGGAACTCAACAAAAGTATTGTGACATCCCAGATTTGTCCATATTCTACCTCTAGTCCCTATTTCCCCCTAATCTATTGTACGCAGTAATAATAATGTCCAGACACGCACTGTCGATAAGTGCAGTGGTAGGGGAACTCTACCTCGGTGACGGGTGGGTAGATCTTCTCGTGTCTCAGATAATTCCCAATTAACAATAACTATACAATTAGCACAAGTTAAACTGTGTAATATTTGACAAATAAACGAAACAAAATGTTAAAAACTATAAAAATAGAGTATTCATGATCGATAGCACACCTTAGGCTTAAAAACAATTTTAACGTAAATTGAATCATGAATCAATGATTTTCTCGCCGGATCTTCTCAGTGGGTCGCGTTTCCGATCCGGTGGCAGATTCTTTTTTCGTTCTTTATTTATTGCTTAGATGGGTGGACGAGCTCACAGCCCACCTGGTGTTAAGAGTTACTGGAGCCCATAGATATTTACAAAGTAAACGCGTCACCCACCTTGAGATGTAAGTTCTAAGGTCTCAATATAGCACTGCTCTTGCTAAGCTTGCTAAGCACTGGTCTTGTGTTAGCAAATTCCCTCAGGATGAGCCCGTAAGCTCACCTATCCGTTCGGGGGTAGCTAGAATAACCTCATAAGCTACCAGCGAATAGGTAGGAAAAAAACATACGGTAATATGAAAAAAAAGCTTGTTCTGATGGTGTTGAATGTAATGCCAGTAATCACAACGTGAATTTGGTTTAGTCAGTGTTGAGCAGTTCCGACAGCTCGGGTTAAATTATCACACGTTATTTTTTATTCGCCATTATTGTTCACTGCATACGTCTCTTGTCTCTGGTGTGGGATTACGAGTAATTCGTATAAATAATTTGTTGATATCTCGTTCTGGTTGTCTGTGGCTTATGAGATAAAAACAAAAATTTGCGAAATATATCTAATGTATAATCTAACGGATCAAAACCAGAACGAAAGATCACATGTAATATTTTCGTTTAATATTTATCGAAACATTGATCAGGTTATATTTATGCGTCAATTGTAATCTTGACAATACGATGTATTTTAATACTACACACAATAAGTCTGTAGTCCATTTGTAATTTAAACTAAATAAATATAGAATTATAGCAAAATAAACAAACAAAAAAATTTATACAGAATTTTTAGAAAACTCTTCGAATCCTAAATGTCAATGCATTAACTAATTGGAAATCGCAATGCTGTGAATATTGTTAAGGTTATAATAATTCTATGACGCTTTCCTTAAGTGTATTTACCCATTTATTTATGTATGTATAATATGAACACTTTTTTTTAACTATTAAATAGGGAATGTTACGAATGTAGGCATTTAAAAGGAATACAATACACTGCCATTTTAATAGGTTATAAAAAATATAGGAACTATAAACAAATCGAGTGTAATGCTGGTCCGACGTGGAGAGCTTTTTAAATACATCCAATAACGACTATACCTTAATAATACATAGAATCTCGTAAATGAAAAAAAAAGCAATGCTTTTGTGTTCTTGTTTTTCATTGTCCTTTAAAATGAATACGTTATTAAATAAAGAATTAAACTTAACATTTGTGGGTCCAGGGAAAAGTGACAAACGCGCTCAGGCGAGCTTATTTCGGTTGTAAGCACGTCGCTCACAGTAAGTGTGTAGTATGCCGGCGGAGGGTGGCAACACTGAGCCGGCGCCGTGCTCGAATAGACTTTTGAGTGATTACGTCATAGACAATAGAAACCGATCAAAATTGTGTTTTTGGCTAGAGACAATAATTGTTTATAGATTTTATCGCTAATGTTATAGAGCTAGAGATATATAGTGATTGTTACGATGTTCCAATGAAATAGGAAGAGACCTATTTTTTATGAATTTTATAAAATTAAAATTACTAGTTTTGTTGTTTTTATACCCTTAAATCCGAATTAGCCATTATTGAATTCGCATGGATCCGAAATTTGAGGAATTATCAAATGTTTTATAAACATTCTAAGTGAATATTTGTCATTGTGTAGAAAAACACAATAAAATTGAATCTCACACACACGTACGTGCCTACTGTATTTCGGAAGGTACCGTTTAGTTGTAGTTACTAATATTTTTGTAAATTTTTTATTAATAGAAATTCTGAAATATTAGTTTTAGATTTTTTTTAAATGATGACTTAGGTTTAATAGCGTATGAAAATATTATACTTTTATTGATCAAACTTTTAAGTGTTGAAGTTAAAGTTTTAATTCGTAATTCAAACAGTAGTGTAATTGTGTAAAGCTATAACTATTTGTCATGTAAAATTTTAAAATATTGGCAGTGCTAAGAACTATATATTTATACACGTTTATTTCTTTTAACATATTTAATTATTGTAATCATACGTATATCTGTGCTATTAACGAGACTAAACATCTAATCATGGCATGATATTCTAATCTATATACTAACACAAATTACTTTTGGATTTAAAATTTTAATTCCTACAGTCATTACTATTGATCTGTGTGCTCAGTGCGTGTTTTTTAACGTCCTCGATAGCGTAAAAGTTAGCTCATATATTTTGTATGGAATGGGATCGTTTGCCTAGGTTTGCCGCTAAGGGCGCTGTTCCAAACTGAATACAAAGTTGGGTTAACTTTTACGCTATCGAGAACGTTAAAAAACTCGCACTAAATACACTGGTCATTTTAATCACAACTAATGACTTCACAGAGTAGTTAGTCTTCAATGTTGGTCTTATTCTGTGGCTAGCTTTGTTGCTTTTTGCATAATTTTTTTTTTATTTTTCATTACTTCATTACCATTTTCACTTCACAAGAACGGCGACATAAACCACTCGGCGGTGTGCTGATTGAGAAATCTGGAATTTAATTTCAATTATTATATATCCTAATACTTATTAAACAAAAATTTTGAATTCTGTTCATACCATCAATGCAATTAGCAAAATACATTTCCACTCGCGTTATTATATTACTTTTTCAAAAAGTAGTTTAAAACACAAAAAAAGGTTAATATTATGATTTTAGTGCAAATCATTAATTTCACACAAATTCAGTAGTAACAAGTCATATTATTAAAAAAGCTTCTAACCGTTAACCGCTTGAGCAAGTAACTCCCGGTTAAGAGAGAGAGAGAGTAATATAGTCATTTTCTTTTCAAACTGTTATAAATATGTTTTTCAAAATAAATCATTTGTTTTTCGTTTATTCTTATTTTTAGAAATAAATCACTATATCATATATAAACATCAACAGCACACTTATATTTTAGTTTCGATGTGACGATTCACAAACCACTTAACTACTTTTTTTAACTTTTAAAATTTAAAATTGTGTTTAGTTAACAACAGTTTGCATACATTTTTTTTAACTTAAAACGCCTCACGTCCTGATAAAAATACTGCTAAATGTAAATATTGCTTCAAACAAAAACATCTTTTCGAAGTAACTTGATCAGATAGTCTAAAATAGTTTTTACCGAGCTAATTGTCTATGTTAATAATACGTTTCAAAGAGTCTTGAAAGTATTGGAAGCATTGTAAATATGAAATAGATAAAACGAGCGTGAGATTTTATTAGATGAGTATTCCTAACAGAGTTTACGATTTTAAGGAAGATAAAGAAATTAAAAGTGGTTTATGAGACGTCACAGTTTAAATCGAGTGAGTAACGTTGCCCTCTCCCCCGTCCCGTCCCGTTCTGCTCCCCCCGGCGTCCCCGTCCCGCCCCGTCCCGTCGCTTCCCGTCCCGTCGTCGGTCCGGTTGTGTAGCGGGCGGCGGCCGAGCTGAGCGCGTTGGATCGTTGCAGAATGACGTGGATGCGCCGTCGCCGCCCGTATCGGAGCGCCAGTCAGCGGGCTCCGTCTGCTCGGCGGGCGCGGGCCTGTCGCTCGCGGCGCCGCCCCCGCTCGAGGCGCGCGCCTAGCGCCGGCGCCGCTGCCTCCCCGCCTACATGATCATCATCAGCTGCGACGAATGAACAGCCCGCGCCTCCAGACCGTACGCCGTCTGCGCGCTCAGTCTTGTTGCTGACGTCACTCGTTAATAGACAACACACGGCACAGATAATCCTACACAAACCAAAATAAACTAGTTTTGGCGTTGAACAACTTTTTAAATGAACTGTGGTGTCTGAGCAAGACAAGACTGAGCGTGTAGAATGTGCTTTTATATTAGTGCTTCTCAATTAGTTTGATGAATATTTCAAGGTCGATGGCTTAAACTTGAAGAACGAACTAACATCTTTACGTTACCTTTTATTTTGCTTAATTCGTATCTTCGAAGTGTTATCATTGATTGAGAAGCACTGATCTATATTATAAACCATTGTATCGATGATGTTACTGTTCGAAGTAACGATTTATTTTTATCATGCGAAACATTACGACCTGAGATTTTTTTTATCGATACTATATTAACGTTTTGTGACAACAAAATTGTCTTGTATTTAAATATAATGTGAATAAATGTAAATTTTTTGTGTGTTCGAGAGTAATTTATATGTAAACAAAAAATGCAGAGAAGTTTGCTCATCGTTACTCATGTGGGATGGCCAACGAAAGTACGGTTAAGATTGGTAGAGTGAGCGCTGAAAGCTATATCGATAAACGTAAAGAAAGATCGAATCAATTTTGGAATAGAACACATCAATATCACATGTTAAGATTAATATTGATGTATCGATCTTTCTTTTAATGAAATCGATTATAGAATAATCATGAGCGGGTATCGGCAGTGGACAGATCGAAATCGATTGTGACGTATGGACTAGCAGAGAGCTTATTTTATAAATAATAATTATAAATTATACGATTAGTAATTTAAAATGTGAAACTCGAGCAATTTCGACGTCCCTAATTGAGATAATAAATAACATTAGAGTTGAGGAAATATGTTGGCCGTCTATCGAAATTACTGGTTAAGAAAAAAAGTACAAAAACAAAGATTGAACAGTAAGAATTGCTTTTATGCAAATTAATAAATTGAGACTGTCGAAATTGACGATTAATACAGTAAGTAAATTAGAAGTCAAATATAATGAGTTGTTAAGAGCTTAGAGCTTTTATACAGAATATACACATTCCTGGTCACCCTTGTTTAGTCTAGAGATTGGTAAAAGTGTTAATAAATGTATCAGTTTACGAAATATAAAGATTACAACATAGATACGTCCGAAAAAATGTAATTATACATAATAAAAAAGTTATTTAAGTATTTGAACCAAATGACTTAAATTTTTAATTTTTACAAATTGGATTGTATGTTTATTTATGTGTGTGTAATCTGATTTAAAAACTCAAAATTGTATTGATGTTAAATATAGAGCTTTTTTCAAAATTACAAGAAACCTACAAATAAACGGACAAATTCAAAAGTCTACATACTACATATTTTACATTCTTAACTATCGTGCAAGAGACACACCTAAATACTCGCAGTCATTTTAAAGTTAATAACTAAGTTTTTTTGTAAAATCATTAAGTGTCTTCGTAACTCATTAATTCTAATGGATCTGCTCATGTTACAAATAAATAAATTATTTAGTTGATGTTTTAGCTATTAAAGTTTTTGATGTGACTAATAAAATACGAGAGGGTTTTGTGTAATGTGCGCTTAACGTGTGGACTGTAATTAAGTAATTGAACAATACACACATATTTAAGTCTTAGTTTTTTTTTATTGTCCTTGTAGGCAGACGAGCATACGGCCCACCTGATGGTGTGTGGTTACCGTCGCCCATGGACTTAGCAATGCCAGGGGCAGAGCCAAGCCGCTGCCTACCGTATTGTTTAGTGAATACAGTAATACATTTATTTTAGTTTGAAATTTTCATTTAGTTTAAATATAAAATAGTGTGTTCGAATGAGTATATTTGAGAATGAGTTTCGTAGTTGTGCGTATATTAATTGAGATCCTAAACTGAATGTGAAACTTTGTTAGGTGTGTCCCGAGTTACAATGTGTTCATTGTATACCTAGTGTTGCTAGAGTAGAGGTTAATGCTCGTGTCTTTGAATCGTGTTCAAGCGTCGATAACTAAATCGATCTAAATCTGATGTAAATATTTTAAATTACTTTTTAAATAGTAATCAAATAATATTGATTGTTTTCATTCCTGTGCGTTGACGAAATCTTTAAATTAATAAGTTAAGATTCTCAGAATTACTTTTGAATTATCTATGGATATCGATATTTTAAAATAAAATTAGTGTAACGAAATATTTTTCAGTGTAAACAATAAATATAATTGAAATGTGAACTTATTGTATCAAGATGTTGCTGAATTTTTAATACCATTTTTTTTTGGTTGTTTTTATTTAAATCCCGTTTTGAACTTCCTGATCCATTGTGTATTTTGTTTTTATTTTTTGGTTAGGTAACAGATTTCAAGGAATAATAAAAAAAAACATGGATGCAGCGCAGCCTGAAATATATTTCACATGTCTTCTACTGTGTAAGGGAGACCTTGTTGGAGGCAATAAACTACCGCTTAAACGTAAATGGAAGACGATATTAATTTACTTAAAATTCATATAAAAAAAAAGTATTGTTAAGGCATTATGTGAAACCGTAATGTAAACCATAGTTGATATTTTTACACTTACAATGAAGTTGAAGGACGTAATCGAATATCTATTTCAGATGTTTTGGTACTGTTTTGGTATCAAGTAGTATTTTAAAAATAGAATTCTTTGAAAAAAATAATGCAAAAGTTGGAGATGCCGGGGATCGAACCCGGGGCCTTTCACATGCAAAGCGAACGCTCTACCACTGAGCTACATCCCCATACAACATTTTCTTCTAATATTCTCATCTAATACTTGACCTCCGCTTCATTTTGATTATTAGACTGGTTTGAATGTGATATTCCTTAGCATCTACCTTCGGTACATGAAAGTGTGCAGTTTAATTTATTTAACGCACGATCTGATTGTAGTCTTACTTTCATGTAAATGTCGTGCAACAAAACAAAAGTAATGGTAACCGTAATTGCTGTTTTCTCGCTTTGAATAGCAAAACAGTTTTTCTCTTTGAACAAATGGTTTTTTGTTTCTATTTCAATAAATATGTGCATACTGGAAGGGATCCGTTTATAGTAATTTCTGAGCATACAAGGTCTCGTGATCTTGTTACTGATAAAAAGGCATTAACTTGTAAATATTTTAACGATTTGATTCTGCAGTTTGTGGTCGTATATTTATGGATAATTACGGTTAAGTTTTTTCTGATCTATTGATTTTGAAAAAAATACGTGTAATTTTTAGCTTTTAAATTCAGAGCTTCGTTACGAATATAGATTTTAAATTTGCGTTTAAATAGATAAATGAGCTCATTGCTTAGGTGATCTTAAGTGGTTATCGGGATCGTTTGCTTTTTAATGTAAATGCGACCGTCCATGTCGAAATATAAGACTAACATAATATTTATTCTTACATTTTAAACCGATTGCTTCGTGATAGGTATAGGTAGCCTAGAATAAGTATCACATTAAATACCGTTGTTCTTATTTAATGCATTCTAAAAAAGTTTTATTATCACGAGACGACAATTAAAAACACGAATACAATTTTACGTTCGCAATCAAAGTATGTGGATCATGATCAAGTTTTTGTTCAGCTCTAGGTTCCCAGCATGTGTTCTATCTTTGATCTGTGCAGTATATCTCACATCGTTCGTTTTAACTAGGTAATAGCGCGTGCCGTTTCAGTCTAGGCACTTAATCTAGACTGGGGATCGGTTTGACGGAAATATCTGTCTGGTCCTATATCCTATTCGAGAATATCGTAAAAAAAAAAGCGATCATGTTATACTTCTTCCCATGGATCTTACCTTTATTAAATTGAAAGTAATCAATAGATTAGTAATCGTTAATATCAATCATTATGTTTAAACTATTCACCAGGATAGAGTATATTTTTCATTGATGTAGATAAGATTTGTACTTTAAAAAAAAAAATATTCGTCTATCGGACTATTTCAACTAAACTTTCAGCAACATTAAGATGTCGTTCGATTTAAGAATTGTACATGTATCAAGGATCAATGACAGTACAATCACTTTATGTACCTACCCTACCATCCAGCAACAATTTTGTTCGACTTGCTGTTTATGCGTATTTTTTTAAGCTTTAAACTACTTACTTATTCTTAAAATGCTTCGATTGCAATATTCTTATTATCTTTGTTGTAAGATGAGCGAAGGGCCCACTTGATGGTTAGTAGTCAATATTACTACTCATGGACATCAACAATGCCAAGGGAACCACTACCCACCCCGGCGTCTAAGAAAAACTTTGAATAGAGCCATTTCCTTAATCACATCAGAATGCATGACAGATAAACCTTGTTATGTGTTTAAGTGACCAGAATGTTTCATATTAATCATAATAGGAAAGGCGAAATCAAAAAAATCAACTTCACTTATTTACACAATTTTATTTAAATGAAATTTCATTTTAACAGATTATACTTATCTAATGATTAAAATAAACATCTATGATAATTAAATAGTTAATCAACATTTTAAATATTCGTAGATCTTTTGATAAGACTAGTAGTTTTTATTATAATACTGTATGTATGTCGATTATACAGTTAATAAAAAGCACATTAATACATTTCATACAATGCAGAAAATAATTTTATTATCAGCGCAGCAAACTGCCCCCATCGATAACATAAATAGATCCTGTAATACTTTTCGCTTTATCACTGGAAAGGAAGGCGATTAACGCAGCAACTTCATCGCTTTCAACAGGCTTTTTTAGAGGCATGTTCCCTACAACGTTTTTTACGAACAACTCTAATTGATCTTCAGTTAATCCGATTCCTTTCAATAAGTTCGTTTTTACAAATCCCGGGTTAACAGAATTCACTCTAATGCCATCTGGTGCTAATTCTAACGCAACACATTTAGTAAAGTGATCTAATGCGGCCTTCGAGATGTTATAGGCTAAAGCCATTGTACTGGGCTTTGTACCCGCTATACACGACAAATTCACGATACATCCTTTAGTTTGTATTAAATGCGGAACCGCAAGCATTGTTAATCGATAAACCGACCTCAAATTAGTCGACATAACGTCATCATATGTTTCCATTGTGGAATTTTTGATGCCGCCCATACCGATCACTCCGGCGTTGTTTATCAAAACGTCAAGTTTTCCATATTGTTCAATGGTTTCATTAATTATTCTTTGGGTGTCGCCGTCATCGGTGACATCAGCAGTGATAGTGAAAGGTTTGATTCCTTTCGATTTTTCACAGTATAACGCGATTCGACGTAAATTATTTTCTTTTCGACCGACAAGTACTAATTGTGCCGATAATTTCGAAAAGTGAATAGCTGTGGCCGCACCTATACCCGAACTTGCACCGGTTATCAACACAACTTTTTCGCCAAATTCCATGATTAACAGAAAAAATGCTTGCAGTTTCAAGGTCAAACAGCAGAGTAAAGCGTCGCGTCTGCGCGGTCGGAATGAACGACAGAGTAAACTACAAAATTATTTCGGTGTTGCTAGATATTAAAAAATATTTATTCCTGCTTATTTTAATATTCTATAAGCACATCGTATTTGAATAGTCTATAAACTAATAGTAGTACATTTGTTTAATTCTCATATTTTATTTGTCAAGGTTTACTAGAGTGATTAACCGATGTCCATAAAAGCTAATCTAAAAACTATTAATTATTGTGTCCAGCTGACTGAGTACTATTCATTGTTATTAATTCATTACCATGATGTGTACTTATATGATAAACATGTTACAGATGAAAATATTTTTCTACAGTTTTCTACCAGTTGGTACGATTTTCTTAGAATCTGGTATACTTTTTGTAAACAGCTGATCGACCATGTGATAAGATTCGGACGATTCGGTCCTCTTGTAAACAACCTTACGGTTCACCATTATGAAGCTATTTTCGAAGTTCTACAATAGTTTGTTTTACCTTGGGAATTTAGGTTGAAATCTGTTGCTTATAACGACTATGCCTTGTTTATGCCATGATTTATGTGTGTGTCTTTAAGCATGATCTCGATGACTGGCTGACTGCTTTAAATTTAAATAGACCTTGACACGCAGTAGCCGAACTCAGTATCCATTAACCACGCAAATTTACAAATTTTGCGATTTTTATTTTTGTAACATGGTGCAACACCTTTATCGCGTTAATCATTCTCGAGCTAAGTGCGTTTTTCCTTAGAAAACTTGGTAACTGTTTGTGTAATTGTAACTTCGGTGGAGTCTTATTGTATTGTTAGTATTTTGTAAGTGCACCTGTCGTCTTTTAGGGATGAAGATTTCCATCATCAAGACTTCAAACTCTTAATGTTTTAAATTATTAGTCTGAGAAGAGCTATTTGATTAATTATAGAACTTAATTCTGCTTCAAGTAGTTTAAGACTTGAAATTTAAACTGAATTGATTTAATTAGTTCTTTTTAAACAAAGCCGATGATAAGATGAATTTCAATAATGCACCTGTTGCACAAAGTCGCATCATGCATCATCGATGACATTAAACAGTTTTAAAATAGGCAATGTATCATGCTCTGTCTTTGAATAACCGATAGGGTCGTGTGCCCTCCGAGTTGACCTCACTTGAAGCAACGAAATCGTTTGGTAAAATATCGTCTAAACAAACGTGACTCAAATATATGGGAATAGAGAAATTGTATTGAATTGTTTCAAATAAAACCTTTCGAATCCGCTTGGATTTACTATCGAGATACATTTTAGCGATGATATCATTATATTGTATGTTTGTGTTGGTTTTTAATATTTGTTTTAGTGCGTATTAACCTGCCTATTATATTTTAATTTTTTTGTGAATTATGACTAAAACAAAATCGATTAATCTATATATAAATAAGTCTATGTACCACGTTTTCTCAGTGGGTGGCGTTTCCGATCCGGTGGTAGATTCTGCGAAGCACTGCTCTTGCTAGGGCCAGTGTTAGCAACACTCTCGGTTGAGCCCCGTGAGCTCACCTACTAGCCCGGTGAATCTAGAATAACCCCTCGGGTTACTAGAAAAGGAAGAGTAAAAAAAGTACCACGTTACACCATTGTCAATGTAATACAATATCTTCTGTTTATTAAAACCGTTTATTAATTAATTCGGAAATAATTTTTATTCTTTCAAATAAGACAAAAAAACAACAATTTAGTTCCTAATCTCGTTTGTTAACCGATGTTTGTAGCGTTAGTGTCAGGTTTTTTTTGGCAAATGAAAAAATGTAATTAGGTACTATAATAAAACTAAATGTGTGCAGTGATTATTATTTGAATTTGAATGTGAGAATTTCGATTAAGAGGCGAACTCTAATTTTTATGAATGTTTTTGAGATTGGATAGGTGCTATTAATTTTCGAAACTTCCTGATAGTTTTCTGATATTCCTGGACGTTCCAATGACATTGAGACTTCAAACATAAGTTTTAATGGTATTAGGCGGCTGACATTTGGTTTGTGAGCTGCCCGTGCTAGCCTTACCTAGTAAAAATAATACAGGCATAGTCCGAGCCGGGCATTCCTTAAAGCTACTTACAGATTCATACAGCGAAAATAGCCCGTTAATTTCTTTGTTACTTATTCGCGCGCCTGCCTTAGAACGTTTGCCGTATGTTATATTACGTACGTATGTTATATTTTTTTGTGCAGTAAAGTATCGTTATTCTTGTCTAAAGATTCGTAGCGTACATCTAAATCATTTAAGATCAGTTTCTGGGCCAACCCATTCCTTTTAGAACGGCATTTGCATATAAAACATTCCAATATATCAATTCGGCCACGAATGCAATTTGTGAATGGTGCCCATAAATAACTATTTCCTGTTTGACACATGGCGACCCCTTGGTTGGGCTGGCAGCTCCGCGGTCTATGTTTTCCCGCCGTTATTTGACAGATGCGTTCCGAATTTGAAAACCGAAAGGATTTCTCGAGCGGTCCCACCAGGCCGCTCAAATCAACTGTGAAATTCAATTGTACGTCCATAAATTTTGCCGTTTTGAAAAATGTTTTAGTTTTCCTTTTTTAGTTTCGTCGTCGTGCGCAATATATTTTCCTCTACGCGTTTGATAAGATTTATTCGTGTTGTCGATTCCGGTCGCCGTGAAGTATTGCAGGATGAAAAAGACGATGCCTAGGATAATGAAGCCAATAAAATAGTACTTAAATTATAAAATATTGCAGAAAGCAGTATTGTAGTTATCGAAAGTTTTGTGTCCACATTAACTGATAAAATCTATGGTACGTTGACAAAATTTNTATTTTCCTCTACGCGTTTGATAAGATTTATTCGTGTTGTCGATTCCGGTCGCCGTGAAGTATTGCAGGATGAAAAAGACGATGCCTAGGATAATGAAGCCAATAAAATAGTACTTAAATTATAAAATATTGCAGAAAGCAGTATTGTAGTTATCGAAAGTTTTGTGTCCACATTAACTGATAAAATCTATGGTACGTTGACAAAATTTTAAAGTACTTTTTAAACGTGCATTATTACATTAAACTAGTTTTGGATCGGTACTATTTTAATTACGTTACGAATGCAGCTGTGCTGTTTTTAAAAAGAGTGTCTACCGTGTAGATCTAAAATATGATGTGACATTTTTTAAGGAGTTTTTACCTAACTTTGTGATACATATTTACTTAGATATATGCCACTAAGTAGCAGAAATAAAATTAAGTACGTTCCTACTCGAATAAGTGTGATTAGAATTTATGCAACGACTGATCTACGATTCCCTTATTAATTACCTATCGATTACAAATTTTTTTTTTTGAATTAAACAAACAATTCGACTGTTTTATAAGTATGGAGAATAAGGCGTAGACATAGCCTAGCTCCACAGTATCATTTAATACCAAAATAAATATCAATCGTGCACTATGTAACTAGAATATTTGTAAAATTATAACAACAAAAAAGGATTTTATAGTACAAATAAATTTCTTTCTTTGCCGTCTTCTTGAAGATTGCTCGGTTTAGTAAGTTGCCGTATTTCTAATCTAGATATAACATGATCATAAGTTAATATCGTAGAATTTATCTACTTATGCAGAATGTAGCCCATAAATAGATTTTATTTAATATTTATTTATAACGGTAGGCAGCGGCTTGACCCTGCTCCTGGCATTGCTGAAGTCCATGGGCGACGGTAACCACTCACCATCAGGTGGGCCATAAGCTCGTTTACCTGCAAGGGCAATAAAAATTAGTATAATAATATAATCAATAATTCCTTTTTATAAATATTTGCGCGGGTATTATATCTAAGTAATACCGTATAAGTAATGAGTGGTAAAAACGTTTCTCTTGTTTGGCACTCTTGCTCTTCAATATATTCAGTTATATTCATTTTTTTTATTAAATCACAAACAACTACTGGTGGTAGGACGTCTTATGAGTTCGCACGGGTAGATACCACCACCATGCTTATTTCTGCCGTGAAGCAGTAATGTGTTTCGGTTGAACGGTGGGGCTGCCATTGTACTGTTAAAACTGAGACCTTACAACTCATTTCTCAGGGGCTCAGGTTACCATTTAACACCAGATGGCCCGTGAGCTCATCTACCCATCTAAGCTACAAAAAAAAACAATTCAATCAATTTCCGATTGATGATATCAATGCCATTTTTCTTCCCAAACCGAAGGTACGCTTCGGAGCATTACATAAAACATTCAGTTTTATGTGCTTCGGCGAGAGATGGCGCTATTAACGCAATGTATGGAGACTCCTCGCTGATGTATTCGCAATCCCGCAATTGCTCTGTTTATACATATTTAGCACTACTACACTTTAGGTTTATTTCGTGAAACGTGGAAATTACTTTTTAAAAAAAAGGTTAAAGCAATTTTTTGTTGAATAATGTGTTAAAAACATTTCGAATAGTTCGTAGCTTGTCTCGAATTATTTACAGCTATTTTTACAGTTTTTATCATTTTTATCATGTCGGCGACTCATAAAAATCTTCGAGAACAGTATTTATAATTAATTAAACTATTTGTAAGTTGTTCGTGACATCCACAATTTCCGAATGAGTTCGTAAAACACGCAGGGCTGTCCAGACACTTGCATTAAATTAAGAGTTGGAAAGGAAAAGTATTTAAGCATAAATTAACAATTGAATATTGTTCTCCACTTGTGTTAAAGTCCTGTGTTGTAGTTTTCAGAAGGGGTTAAATAGCATTTCTGTTTAGTAATTTTAATTCTACATAATTGAACGGAAAAATCTTAGTTATTAGTTTATTTTTGCGAATTAGTTTCAATACTCAACGAAGACTCAATAAAATAAATGTAAACACTTTGTAATTAAAACAGAGTACGTGAATTTCTCTCAATTTTCGAGCGATCCAATAAAGAAATGCAAATGAGTTGCGCCCAAGAATAATTGCTTGAACGACCACGATAGTGTTGGGAGCTTATCGATTGCTCACATAAGCCCATATCGATGATAATAGTATTTAAATAAAAAAAACTCATT